GTATTTTAAGGTTCTTAGACTATTAGTGTAGGTTAATATTTATAGTTATAAATTTATAGAGTTTCTATATATCTATAGCCTTCTAATTACATCATTTCAGGGTCTGCGGTGGTAGTGTATTAATATTAAGTAGTAGGTAAATTAGTAGGTAGTTAGAATTAGTATAGATATTAGGGACTACCTTACAGGCTATAAGATGGGCTGTTAGGTCTATAGATCTAAATATTAGGTTAATAGTTAATTAGTAGCCTTATTCATCCCTAGTAATAGCTCCTAGCTCTATCTAAAGGTCTAGAAGCCAGGCATTAGTTAGCTTAAGTAGCCTATTAGACCTAGGGTTAGTATAGTGGATATGATTACCATCCTAGGCTAGATAGTAAAGGTTAAAATCTCCTAGGAGCAGGTAGCTACTATCCTGTCAATCTAGGACCTACTCTAGGAGGTTAAGGGTGTTAGTTTAGATGCTAGTTTAGGTGCTAACTTAGATACTAGTATCTAGGCATAGGTTATATATATTATATAGGTAGAGTATCCTAGTATTATAGTATAATTTAAGCTCCTGGTAGTCCTATAAGTAGGCTATATATTTCTATCTAGTAAGATCTATCTTATAGGAGATATAGAGGTAGACATAGGTATAGCCTCCTATCTCTATTACTTTAGGGTAAAGTAACTAGTGAGTTACCTTAGTAGGGTAGTAGGTGGTATCTTAGAATAGGTTATCCTAGGATTCTTAGATAGTGATAATATTAGCCTTTAGGACCTCTAGGTCATGCAGAAACTAAGCTATTACTATATCTTTAGAGTAGTGCACATTATATTAAAGAATTTAGAATATTCTATTTATAAGAGGTATGGTATAAAGCATTCTATATACTCTTTTAATAGCTACTAGTAAACTAGAGTATTCCTATAGAGAAGTTAACTTAGGGGTCCTTCTCTAGTTATATAGTAGTATCTATACCCTACTTCTACTTTCTCTTTTCAGCCTAGGTGCTTAAATTAGTATTAATATTCTTATCTTATAGGATTAAGCTAGGCTGCTAGTCACTCTTAGGGGCTTTAGGGAGCTTAGTATAGCTGTTCTTATTATTAGTAGTAGTAGTGTTATCTTAGTATATACTAAGGTAGGTCCTATATATGGTAGCTATCTATTAGTTTTATAGTTACTTAGGGGGGTAATTATTATCTTTATTAGTTAGGTCTAGTAGGTTAATATTACTTAGGTAGTCCATAATTTAAGTAGAGTAGTGGGAGGTAGTAGGGCTAGTTTAATTAGTAGATCTAGTTTAACTAGTAGAGCTAGTTTAGTTAGTTAAGGCCTTCTTCTTTATAGATGTGGAAGAGGCCTTAGGGTATAATACTAGGGGGGTGAATAAAATATTATTAATATTCTAGTCTAATAGGGATATTAGAGAGGATATTAAGATAGGTACCTAGCTATAGGGTAGCTACTTATAAGATAGCTCTAATCTTATCTTCTTAGACCTCTTAGATAATCTAGTAGCCTTTTTTACTATAGTAGCACCCTTAATACCCTTAGATTCCTCTATTTACATAGGGGAGCCCTTTACTAAGGTGTCTAGGGTGGATACTAGGGGGGAGGTACTTAGTATAGTAGTAGAATCTAAGCTACTACTCTTAGGATCCCTTTAGAAGTCTTATAAGTAGGGTAGAATATAATAATATTACTAGTAATAGTAGGAAGCTACCTATATCTTATCCACCTTCTCTATATACTTCTTATATTCTTTAGACTAGGTAGTATATATGCCCTTATAGTTAGTATACTTTCTTAACTCTTAGCTAGTGGCCTGCCAGAGCAGGCAGTTATAGATCTTATAACTATCTATATAGAGGCTATAGATAGTTTTATTAGAATAGATGCTTTCTATATAGCTATATTACTAATAATTAAAGCACTAGCAGATGTGAGTAGACTAGTTATATAAGACTATAGTTAGGATAGTAGAATCCTAGATAGTTCCCTTATTAATAGCTTTATTAGTAGCCTAGGGGGTAGAAAACTTAATTACTAAGGTAGAAGACTTCTTATTAGTAGGCTAGTTTATAAGCTAGGTAATATAGATAATCTTTATTAAATTACCCTATATAAAATAATTTATAGCTAGTAACTAGTTAGCAACTTACTTAGCCTTCTAAGAGTCTACTAGGTTACTAATTAATTTAACCTAGATATTATAAACTACTATACCCTAAGTTAGCAGGTGGATAACAGCCTCCTAGTAGAATAATTTAGCCTAGCTAGGGTAGTAGTATATAATCTCTACTTACTAAGTAGTCTATAGGCTAAGGCTTAAGTTATCTAACTTAAGCTAGTAGGTAGCTATAAATTTAATAGATATAAGGATAGCTACTATAGTCTTTTTTAAGGCCTTTATATAGGTCTTTTTAGCTCTATTCTTTATCTCTACTATCTTTAGACACTAGAATATACTTACTATACTAGTATCTAGTAGTTTAATAATAACCTTATAGTCCTTACTTAATTCTAAGGGGGTAGCCCTAGGGCTACTTAAGAAGCTATAGAAGGAGATTATATAGCCTAGGGGGGGTGCCCTTATAGTAGTAGCTATATATAATTAAATCTTAGCAGATATAGGAATAGATTAAGTAGTTAGAATATGCTAGGTAGAGGTAGTGTTCTTCTTAATATTAAGAGTAATCTTATAGAGGTTAGTAACTACCTTCCTCTAGTTATTACCTAGGGGGTTTTTAAGGACCTTCTTAATAATAGTATGCATGTTAGTAATTAGCTTAATAAGAGGCTTTAGGATTCCTTAATTATAAACCTTTAGATAATTTAAATAGATGCTTATATTATGGTAAAGGTCTAGGATATAATTATACAGAGTTTTCTATAGCCCCTTTTTACTACTATAGGAGGCTGTCAGGGGCAGCCACCCTGGCTTTAATAATAATATAGTAATTAAGACCCTATAAAATTAGGATTAATTAAAGGTGGTCGTCGTCATAAGAAATTAGGTAAATTTTAGGGTTGAAAGACATTAATTTAGGTGAGAAATTTCAAAAATTTGTTCTGTGTCGAAGTTGTTGTTTTTTGCGGATACAACCCAAGGAACCAAGGCTTGGGGGCTTGCGCATTTTGATCTGTATCTGTTTCGCCGCGAAATACCTCCAATGCAATATTCAGTTCCCGCAGGGTCTCTCGTGATCTTCGGAGAGGGGCGTATAAGGCGCAGGGATTCATGAAATCATGCTCGTTTGCGGGAGTAGCATGGCCCAGATAACCCACGTGACGTCTCCAGGTGAAGGATTCCAGCCTTGAACACATGGAGAGGAGAGTTGGCACGCTTTCGAGGGGTTGGTAGGAGTGGTCATGGTACTCGTCGATGCCTTGGAAATTGATGTGGGTTAAGGGCAAGTCTTTCTTCTCTGGTAAAAAAACTGGCCATTCTGTTTGGATCAAGTGCAGAACATGCAAGCTCCGCAGCGAGGGGATCATCAGATAGGGTATTACGCGAGCCATCGGGATGGCTTCCTCTGCTCCCCAATCTTGCCGAACTGGACCATCTCGAAGATAGAGATGTGTCAAGCGTGGGAGGATCCCAAGTTTGGGATTGCTTGCCCACTGGATCACCCGGTCGAGGTAAACTGTAAGCATCATATTTCGCTCATAGATGCACCTCTCTTCTGGCAACCAAATAGTGAGCCGCTCAAGGTTTTGAACTCAAAGCAAGAGAAGGCCAAGCCAGGCATTCTCCGTGAGCCGTTTGGGATTTTGAGTGGGACAGCTTCTCAGGTCGTCTCTCCATTCCCGGTATTTTCGCCAGTATATAGGTTTAGAATCACCATAAGGAAAGAGCGATGCTCTGAACATCTCTTCCGGAAGCTCATTCAGCAGAGGTAGTCCTCCTCGCCACTTTTCCCACTTCTCCCCATTATATTCATCAGGATATAGATCCAGCGGGTGGATCAATATCGCAAGAGAAGGGTTTTCAATGATTGCCTGGGTGAAACGCCTCACAGGAAGATCATTTAATGAAGGGTCTCTAAATCCACAATCATCGCAATGACTTAGGGGAAGGCGGATATGACAGTAGAGCTGTGGGATAAACAAGGCGTAGAATGATTTGGACACGAGAACCACTTGGAATAGATCACGTTGGGTAAAGAAGTGTCCAATATGAAGGATAATCTCGACTGGAACTTCGTCCATTGTGGTCAAGCGTCAAGCCAGCTATGCAGGAGAATTGAGAGCTCAGATTCAAGGAGATAAGTGTGATGAGACAACCCAAGCCTAAATGCATAATTTTCTGCTTGTTACTTTTCTGTGTCGGAGAGACTAACGGAGGTTAGTTAATAGTAATATCATTTAATGAGTGAGGTTACATTGTCTTTTGCCCCTGAACGCCTCGTATCCTGTGAATATAAGGGTTTGGATTTCGGATCTGGCCGGTGGCGTTAGTTAAAAGATAGGACATGGACATGACTCGCCTTAGCCCAAAAGCTTGGCTGTTCAGGGTCTAGGCGACCTTTACGTTACCCTAACCGACCCCTACTAACATCTGACAGAGGAACAACAGGAAACACAGCCACCCAGTTACAGCTTGAATACTGGCCCCAGCAGATTGTACAAGATAAGATCTTTTTCAGCCCTCCTTGAATCGCCTGCAGATGTATCAGTTACTTTGGACTTCGACCCCCAGTGATGGTGTCGGCGTTTACCATGGCAGTGTGTCATTTCCTGGGCATTCAGGTGCTGTTGTGGTCACTATCAGTTGCGGGGGTAGCACGATAGCCACTGTCAGCGGTCAATTGATCAGTGCAGGGTGCGCTGCAAGTTCTGGAATCAAGAACTGGAATGCCTGGGTCGGCAGCGCCATGTCCACCAGCACTATCTTGGTAACCCTGTCATTCTTACTTTCCGAGGCTTCATGCGTCGAGGGCTGGGGATATAGCAATTTCTTAGGAATTTATAAAAAGGCCCGCGGATGGGGTTACTGCCTAATAACCACATGTCTCTGTATGAAACTTGGCCTACCACTGACGGCGCCTTGATGCAGACTGTGATAGAGATTGGGAATGAACAGAAGAACTTGGACAAGAAGAAGCTTGTCAATGAGATCCTCATGGCCGTCTTCCTGGTTGTTCTGTTCCTTAGGGAAGTCAATGTCATTGCTGATGCCTTTGCAGACCTGGCGTGTATCTTGACCGTAGTTAGTGATGTTGCAACGGCGGGCTACACCATCTATGCCATGGCGGACGATCCAAAGGAAGCTATCCCCATCCTCTTTAAGACGCTCCTTTTTGCGGGACAGCAGACTCCGGACGAATTTGGGACCATGGCTGCGGCGAGACACAAGATCACAGATGAGACCATTAGTTCCTTGGGTCCAGTTTTCGAACAAGAAAGTACCGTGATTAAGAATATGATCCAGGATTGTGTTAAGGGTTGATGTGACTTTCATCCGTGGCCTAGGTTTCATGGTCTCAGTGAACTAGCCTTGAAAAGATTATTTCTTATACCAATATACTATATAAAGTATCCCTTTACGACTGGGATTAAGCTAATAAATATTTCTCTATATGCTTTGCAGCAGTTAAAATGCAGCTTGGCCTTAATCAAGACTCTATCCAAGTTAAAATAGATTTACTAGTGTATAATCTTGATATAGGACAGGAACATGAATGACTTGAATAAGGATTGTCCAGGGATATAAGACAATAATGTATATAATCTAAATAATATACTTTATTATTTAGAAGGCTCGGCTCCAGGTAATATATATAATGTGTAGGATATGGTATATCCCATAGTTGATCTTTTTATAATATTAGAGTATAAGGTATATGGCACTCACCACTATGTCATAATGACTGGCACATTATAGCTATCTATGACTATGTCTGCTCACTGATCTTATCCTCTCATCATCTCTGTATATTTATCATAAGAGCTTGTGAAATTCCTTCAGTCACCAGGAAAAGAGCAGCTTACAAAGAATGACTAAAATATCCAACCAGGAAGTCGCGAAAAGGGTCATGGAGTGTTAATCAAGATCCCCCTAATCTTGTACACAGTTAGATAGATTGGAGTGGGACTTAGAAAGCGGCACAGGCATAGAGAATTGGACACCTGATTGTTCTGATTCTTCAAATGGTGATAATAGCAATGGGTTGGCTAGTATGTACCATTCATCCTATAAACTACTAAGTACACATGAACATGACAGTTGATTTGCTGGCTGAAGAAAATACCAAATCCACCAAGAACTGTACGCAAGAGTCCTAGATTAACACTCATACTTCATAAGAAACACGCAAGCCTTCTGGTAGCGACCCCAAGATGATAGAAAAGAGGTGGAGAGCCCTCATATGCCTCTCTATCGGAGAGTTCCTGAAGCTAGACATTATCCATAAAATAATTGAGAACCTAAGCCATGACGACCTGGTCAGCGTCATGGATCAAGCTCTGAATATTGAAGACCTTAATTTCACTATATGGAGATGGGTCCAGTATGAGGTCCTCTGCACGCCCTAGAAACAGCGCATCAACTATCTTAATGACTACCTGTAAGAGGGTGCTGAGACCCTTGAGATTAAGATAGATATAAAACTCACGCTGTATAATACACTCTATTACTTCTGTGTAAGAAACCTGGAAAAGAAGAGAGGAATGCTCCTTGACCAACTGCATTAGATATCAATACTGAAGGCATTTAATGCGCTTGCTTGGCAGATCTGGGGTCTCTCCGCAGAGGAGAGGAACAAGCTGGGAGATGATATGATTTAATACCATGAGCAGCAATGTGAAGTAGATCTAAAGTACTAGCTTCCTTAGGGGTGGTGATTGCTTGTGGTTATGGTGAGATTATCTGGCTTCTGATGTGCCATTGTCTTATGCTTTGGATGTTGTTTGAACTAGCGTTGGCTGTTACTTGTGATTATATATGAGATATCTGGCTTGATTTTGGTGTTGTGTAGCAGGCGTTGAATGGCTTTATTATTCAGGGATCAATAGTCCTGAAGAATATGACAATAAAACTACTAATGCTTCTAGCGATGGTCAAACTCTTAGATAGCCAGGTAGAAGACCGAGAAATTGATAACCTGGCATTGAACCTGCTCCACCCTGGTGTGCACATTATCGATGACTGATGACATTCTTCAGCCTTTGATCGTCTATCGACTCATGTGAAAAGAGTTTTTAGGATAGCACAGCTGTGACACATGTGGCTCTGCAGCATTCATGATGGTGAGATGTAGTGATAAACTGATAAAGCTCTTTGTTTTAGGGGACTGAAATCCAGCTCTCTAGTAGATAGACAGTAGTAGGAGTTCATATAGGATGGGGGATGAGACTCTTAATCCTTATTTATAATTTTGTACTAATAATTCAACATTTTGTCCTTTAGGTGTTGATATTATGAAGTAGGGGATTGATGGCTGTGCTGACCTGACTGAGAGAGCGTCTGGTCAATACCATAGAAATGTTCATCCCACAGTCATGCATATAGAGCGTCCCAGTAAGACAGTTTATAAAGGATAGACATTCAAAGACAGATTTATGATTCTACATTTCTATTGTCAGTGTCTCTGAGGGTTGATTCATCATCCCTGGATATTCGCGCAATACCGTATATTAAGCCCATCTTTTTCCTGATTTAGTAGGCTGTGGCACAGCCGAGCCTGAAGTGGCAGTCTTAAGAAGCCAATGGCAGGTGATGCACAGGCAGGGATCCTATAAGGCTGTCGCAAGGCTGCATCTCTGTTTAAATTTTTCTTTCCCTCACACTCCCAGGAACGCTTAGTCTTTCACCAGATCTTGGGCTTCATGGATATCTTTATATGGAATGATTTAGAAGGAAATAATTGCTGGCGTTTCTCCCGTGCTCAAAGGCATGTCATGAGAGATGAATCCCTGTGATAAGTTGACTATGTCGCACTTTCAAGGGACAAAAAGAGACCATTATATACTGTTTAGTGGCTTAGAGGAGTCATGGCTAGTACAACCCCCAAGTCATATTCTTTAACCCAGTAAAGATGCTGAGCTGGTCCGAGATTGAAAATGGGGATTGCAGCCCTGAATAGACGGGCAAGGCCCCTAAACTAAGGAAATTCAAAGAGAGAAACTGGCATAATGAGATGATAAGGCTCAAAACTCTTTCCCGCGAAGACTACACAGTAGGATGGATATCAGCATTGCCGCTGGAGCTAGCAGCCGCCCAGGCAATGCTTGACGAGACTCATGGCGATGCTGGCAAATTGGAGACGGACAATAACACATATACATTTGGCACCATGGCAGGTCACAATTGTGTCATTGCATGTCTGCCAGCTAGAGTATATAGACATACGTCTGCAACTACAGTGGCCAGTCAGATGTGACCAAGCTTCCCTTCCATCAGGTTCTGGCTCTTAGTCGGAATCGGAGGAGGCGCGCCAACCAACAAAGCTGACATTTGAATTAGGGATATCATTATCAGTATGCTGACAGCACAGAGCCCTGGAGTGATCCAGTATGACTACAGAAAGTCAATTGGGAATGGCGTATTTGAATAAATAGAGGTCTTAAACAAACCACCTACACTCCTTCTGATAGCTATCTCCAAGCTTCAAGCGCAACATCAGACTGAGGGGTGCTCATGCATGTTATCATTAGTTAATGAAATGATAAGCAAGTATCCGCAGATGAGACCACAGTATGGGCCTTAAGGTTCTAGAAGCAATGTGTTGACCAGGAGGGGCACAGTTGCCAAAACTGTAACCAGAGTTTTGCAGTGATGAGACCGGCGAGACAATCATATATGCTGGTTGTTTATTACAGTATGATTGCTTCAGCAAATCAAGTTATGAGGCATGCAGCTGTCAGGGATCAGCTTATGAGAGACCTAGGAATTCTTTACTTTGAGATGGAAGCAGCTAGACTCCTTGATAACTTTCCATGTTTAACCATCAGGGGCATCTGTGATTATGCAGATTCACATAAAAATAAAGAGTGGCAGGAATTTGCTGTGGTGACAGCAGCTGCCTATGCTAAAGAATTACTAGGTGTTATTTCATTAACATCTCTGTGTGGGTTACAGACTCAGCAACTATTGACATCTGCTCTTGAGCATTGGAGACTGTGTCTGAAGGCGTTAGACTTTAACTGCTGAGAACAACGGTGTTTCGCAATCAAAGAGCCTTTTCAGAAACGTGCACATGGTTGCTCAGCTGGCCTGAATACCAAAAATGGATGGATAGCAGATTGCTCCATGGGCACAATGGATTTTTGTGGATTAAGGGCAACCCCGGAATGGGAAAATTAACCTTGATGAAGTTTGCATTTGAAAACATGAAGCAAAAGATGTTGGGTATAGGCGCCATTATCATCCCCTTTTTCTTCAATGCGCGAGGAGATGAATTGGAGAAGTCTACCACTAGAATATATAGGTCTCTTCTCTTTCAGTTGTTTAATGGGTTACCCCGACTTCAAAAGATATTAGACTCGGAGGTATCACTGTTAATATTAAAATCAGGAAGCTAGAGCCTAGAGCTTCTGTAATATATCTTCCATCTTATTATTTAGAACTTGGCAGGGCAACCTCTTATATGTTTTATTGATGCTCTGGACAAGTATAAAGAAAGTGAGGTTTAAGACATGGTTAACTACTTTAGTGACCTTGGCGAGCTCACAGCTTCTAGGCTGGTAATACTTCATATCTATCTCTCCAGTCGCCACTACCCGCATGTTACCTTCGACAAGGGACTTGAGATGATCATGGAAGGGCAGGATGGATATGGACAAGATATCACACACTATCTGGATTGCAAACTAGCGAGCATTAAATACAGAGAGATTGCAGAAGTCAAGGTGGAGATCATTGAAAAGGCATCGGGAATCTTTTTATGGGTTGAGCTAGTTATTAATATATTGAAAAGGGCATATGATTAGGGTCGGATGAGCGCCCTGCGGAACAGACTGTGAGAAATCCCACCAAGGCTCAAGGAACTGTTCAAAGATATCCTGACGCGTGATAAGCAGAATATAGAAGACCTTCTTCTTTGCCTATAATGGACGCTTTACGCGAACAGGCTACTTAGTCCGCAGGAGCTCTTTTATGCGGTTTAGTTGCACAAAGAGGACAAGCTAGACCTGATGGAACCACTGGCGGATGATGATTCTATCTCTTGTTTTATCCTCAGCTCCTCCAAAGGCTTGGTAGAAGTGACTGAGGAGAGTAAAACCACCATCTAAAAGACTGTTTAAAAGATCACTTAGTTTATCCATGAATCAGTCCGTGATTGCTTGCTCAAAGAAGGCGGCTTGGATAAGCTCTGGCGGGATACCTATGCTAGGAGAATGGTGCCAGGTTATGAATTCCTTAAAGTCTCCTACTGGAATTACCTAACAAAAGCATACGTCTTCAAGGATAGTAGATTGCCTAATGATATTCTTCTGTAAAAACTAGCCCTTAAGAAGAAGACGCCAAAGAGCCTTCCCTTTCTGTTTTATGCTGTTAATAACATTCTGCAATATGCAGAGGCTGCAGAGCAGGCTGGTGTCCCTCAGACTAATTTTCTTTCCCATTTTGATACTTACAAGTGGACATACATGTATAACCTATTTGAAATGGACATAACCTTGAGGTATGCCAGACTGATGAGACTCACATACCTCCTGGCTGAGAAGAATCTCAGTCATTTACTAAAGGCTACACTTGAGGCTTCATCCCTGAATGGCATTTTTAATAATTGGGAGTGCTGCTACTGTGCAAGTTGTCAGCATTTGGCTCACCAAACTTATGGAAATCTATATCGCTGGGCCTCTCCATTTCTCGCTGCCGTGGCCAAGGGTAATGAACAGGTGATCAGAGTGCTCTTCACAATAAGGTGTACATCATATGCCCTCCAAAAGGATGATCTGGCTGCTCTAATCTCATGCCTGTCCAAATTAATAACACTAAAATATCGCACGATCTTCAAGCATGCAATGACGACTCTAGACATTCTGCTTCTGAGGCTTGTTCTTTCAACTGGCCGAGTTGATTTGACTACAGCCAGAGTTGGAATCAGCAATCCTGTAATGTTTGCCGTTGAAATCGGCAATCATTCCCTACTTATGACACTCTTGGACTTTGGTGCTGATCCCAATGGACAAATGAATGGACCTGCTAGAAATAGTCCTCTCAGTGCTGCCATTAAATTAAAGAGAGCAGACATTGTATAGCTGCTCCTAGAGCATGGAGCAGACCTAAATAAAGTACTGAGTAGTGACCCCGCCATTGATAGACCTCTAGGTTTTGCTGTCAGATTGAAGGATGCGGATGTGGTATGGCTGCTCCTGGAGTACAGAGCAGACCCTAATGTAGTTCACCTAGACTATTTTCTTCTCCTCTCTGGAAGGTGCTCCTGACAAACTCATGTGGCATTCATTGCCCGATAGCTACTCTCAGCTGGGGGTAATGCTAATGATCTGTAGAACTGCTATTAGCATGGCTGGCTGTTTACCTGGATACAGTTTGAGATACTTAATGTGGGCGTCCGCGATCTTAAAGTAAGGGATTTGCAGGCGGGAACATGCCTAGAGTGCATGGGCCAGCAGTTCTTTCAAGGTTTTTAGTTGAGCTACATGGGTAAAGGGAAGGGGATGAGGAGGAGCCAGAGGTCTTAACCTAGGAGGTTGATGTTGAAGGTATATAAAGGGGAATATTATATGATAGTATATGTAGGTGTTTTCAGATGTTGCTGGTGCTAAGAGCTATGGTATAAAGATGCACCATGTGGTATACAATTCTAGATCCAGGTTCACAGGAATGTGGTTCACTTTCTAGATTTCTTAATACTTCTTGATTATAGCACTGACACATAGTACAGTACAACTTAGATCTCTCAGTAAGTGCTGCTCTAACCAACATTACTCTTACTATTCTTAATATCTATTAGGGTATGGGTGTCCATGAGGAGCGCGTCCTGGTGGTGTCATTAGTAGTATTTGTATATAGGGTGCCTAACGCAGTATAAGCACAATGCTATGCCTTATCCTCTAATAATATTCTCACCCTGTCCATCAGCTAGATGCTATTTTGGGCGGTGGGACCATAATTATTCTGTATAAATATAACATAGCATTGCACTGTCTCACTATTGCTGGTCCTAAGAAATACTTAACTAAATCCTTGTAATTATGAGGCTACTGCTGCATCAGAATAACAGCTGTCTACCCTACTTAATCTAGGGTCGGCACACCCACTCTGTACACTGTATATTGTCTTGCATTCCTACAATCACAGCTAAAATGATGAACTGGCTTAAAAACCTATTATCTAGCAAAAGCACTGAAGCAAGAAAGAAATGTAAGAAGTAAGAGTGTGTGGCTTAAGAATGCAGTAAATAGATCAGAGAGTGAGAGAGAGAACTAAGGTGCTGAAGGGGAATAGGCACATGGAAAATGCCCTTTTTCTTAGCTGCTCTAGGTTGGGTATTTCAGAATGGAGACACTGCAGCATTTTTGGGGTGGAATGGTCGGTACTTTCCTGCTTGATCATGGCTCATCTGGAACATGGTATTTCCTGAAGGCTATGTTCATTGTTGCCTGGGGTATGCCTCAGCCTAGGCCGTGGAAGGGCCTAAAAACTGCATATCTGGAAATGCGCTGGATGACAGCCGCCGTCTTGCAATCCAATTCTATCAATGATGAAAGCCCTATAAAGGTCACCGGCATTCTTTGCACTGAGAATCCATAACCTGCACGAACTGGACCATGACGCTTGGTCATTCGCGTCTATCGCGAATAGGGGACCATGGGGCGGCATTTGCAAACCCGCGACTCCAACAACAGAAGGGAGCTCGACCAACGTAATAGAAACTTCTTCAGCGCATCGCAAGGACTGATGGGAGGTGTATGTAGACGCGAAACTCCTGGGGAAGGAATGAAATGGAACTCTAGCATACAGCTCACGTGACGGCAAAACTGTATTGTATTTAGGATCCGTGCGGACCGTGCCAACCCCTTGATTCATGGTTAATTCAATCGAACTGCCTTTCTTTCTGTTGCCATGTCCTCTCCCTTCCTTGATATCCAAGGCAATCCGATTCCGCAGGAGCGAGTTATTGGGAATGGTGCCTCTGCAGTAGTTCTGCTTCAGAATGGTGTGGCTGTCAGAACTCCTTTGAGATATCTATGGAGCTCAGACTCCGACGTTGAAGTGAACATTGAAAGCCTCAGACGCGAACAAGATGTCTATCGTCGCTTGCAGAGCCCTGGAGATAAACGTTCTGAAGGTGTTGTCCGTTGTATCGGATTTTTAAATGAAGCCACGCAACTTGCTTATATGGTCAATGGAGATCTTCGGACGTATCTTGCAAAATGTCGCCCTTCCCCTCAGCTGCAACTCACATGGTTCAATGAGATGGCTCGCACGCTGAGTTATATTCATGACAGGCGCGTGCTTGTTGCAGATATTGCCAGCCGAAATTTTCTTCTTAATTCCGATCTGTCCCTCAAAATCTGCGATTTCTCAGAAGCGTCTCTCCTTCCGTTAGATTCTGACATGCAGGCCGTGGATGACAATGGATACACGACCAAAATTGATATTGGCCTCCTTGGAGCAGTCATGTACGAAGTTGTAACTGGCAATAAGTGTGAAGTCGATCTTTTCAAAGATAACTCTCCCACCGACGGCCGAGCTCATTGGCCAGAGAGGAAGTTCCTACCAAGTACACAGGGTATCTGGCTTGGTTGGGTCATTGAAGGCTGCTGGAACGGCGAATTTTCCAGCGCTCACAGTCTCCTGCAAGCATTAAATTCTATCAACCCACGTGTTTCATCCGCAATGGCTGGATCGCCCACTACGCACATCCTGGCCTCTATGAAGGACTCTATGAGAGATCGGCCTATCACGACTATTATTGGTGCCTTGAGCTTGGCAGTGTTTACTCTGATCGTCGGAAGAAAAACATCCTTGATGTCGCGGGGCCTCCGTCTTTCTTCATGATTTATCGCTGTTATCTCTGCTCTTGATTTAAGCAACATTCCAAGTTTCTTAAATCTCGCAATCCCCTCGAGTTCGAATATATAGATCACTCAGTTTACTCTTTACTAAGCCATAGCATGGGAAGTCTCAGCCGTACGTGACCGGTAAACGTTCTTCACATTTTTCCCATTAAGCAGATATGTACAGTGGCGAGGATTGTTTCTCATATCAAAAAGAGCCTTTCGCAACCCCGGCACCGACATTGATACCCAAGCAAATTCGGAAGAAGGAGGAGGATCGTCGCGGGATTTAGTCCCCAATGGCACTACGACTATACGGATGCGGCGAGAACAGCGATGGTTACCTTGGTGAACCTCGATCCTGCCTGCGTCGCTCTGTCGGCGAAAAGCATTGCTGCGAACACAATAATCAAGGAAAAGATTGTTTATACTGTCCGCTATGGCCGCTCAAACTTAGATCTTTAACAAAGCCCAGCCAGAATATTCGCATCATCAGCTGCGATGATGGGCCCACGTTTGTGCAAGCTGACGATCATTTGAAACATCTTAGCCATCATCCTCTTGACGATGATGAACTCGCCGTTGTCACGGATGCAATACACCCAAGCCGGATCGAACAAGCTATTGTGCTGTCAGGAAGCCATAGGGCAGCCTTTCTCTGCAATAACGGGAAGCTGTATATCCTCCTCACACAGGATGGGAATGATCGACCTTCCACGCGAGTGAATTCCATTCCGGGAAGGCAAATCTCTCATATTGCGGTACGGAGTGCGCGCATGCATAACCCGGCTCTTATCTCAGGGGCAGTTGCCCTCGTTCTCGAAAGTGACTCCCGCACCGTTGTTTCCTTCGACTCATGGCTGCCGATGATTGCCTGGCTGACGGACAATGAGACCAAGCAAGACCCCACATACTCGGTGACGTTTGCAACTCCTATAGTCAAGCTTACCAGTAAATTCGCTGCGCTCGACGAGGCTGGTACTGTGCATGTCTGGGGTGAAAATGGAACCGTTCAACCTCCCGATCCACCGGACGAGGATGAAGCGTTTGAAGAGGCATGGAATCGTTATGTTCTTTTTGGTGATCCAATCCAACGATGGCCATCTCGACTACCTGAAGCACTGGATTACACGCCTCGGAGCTTACCACTACCGCCTATCGAAAAGCTGGCAACAGGGGGATGTTACAATGTTGGTATCTCTCGTGCGGGACAGCTGTTCATCTGGAGCTACAGATCGGAGAAATGGCCCGAAATCGCAGATGTTAATCCGATGAGCGCTGCCGAGTTCAAGGAAGCTGTCATTACGACTGATACTGGCAACCGCCTCCAGATCGTCGATGCAGCTGCAGGACGGGCGCATGTTGTCGCTTTGGCCGCAGATGGGTCGCTATGGTCTGCAGGTGATGGACTCAATGGGCAATTGGGCATAGGGATCAGGCAGTTTGGACTATGCACGGGAGATGGGGATACTGATATCGCGGCTAACGACACTGGGGAGGAGTTTGCCGTGCATTGGCAAAAGATGGATGCTGCAGGAATATGGGCGATGGACAGAGATGCGAGGCCGTTTTTTGCGAGGGAGATCATACATTGATTGTAGTCAGGAGCAATATAGGCTAGGGTTTGATGTGGTTCTCGTCCTCGATTATGAACGGAAGTACCGGCTTGTGTTCTCCTGGCAATTACCAAGGATAAACACCCGTGTTATGCAACAACTGACCAACTTCATTATCCCGCTTCCCCTCAAGCACATCAATCAACGGCTGCACCGCCTGAGCAGGCGGCTTAGCCCCATTCTCCGCCGTGTTTCTCTCGCTGAGATTCGACTGGGTGAAGCCGGGGTCATACGCAAAGACCTTGATAGCAGGGCCGTACTCCACCCACTGACACGCAGTTACCATATTCAGCGCCGCCTTACTCACACGATACTGCAGGCCTGGCACCTTGTACAACACCGAAGACGGATCCAAACGACGGGCAATCGAGCCTGCGCCGCTGGAGATGTTTATGATCCGCGGGCATCCCGTGGACTTCTTCAGCAGTGGAGCAAAGCACTCCGTCACGACGGCCGGACCGGTGGCGTTGGTATTGAATTCTTCTTGCAACTTCCGGCGCAGGGTTGGAGCCGTAGCTACTATGGCGGCGTTGTTGACGAGGATGTCGAGTTTCCCGTGGGAGTTTTCGACTGTCTCTGCGGCGCGGTGGATAGTCTCATCGTCGGTGACGTCGAGATGGAGCAGCTCCGGGGTGCTTGGTAGATTGCGGGATTGTAGCCGGTCCAGAGCATCATTGCCTTTTTGCATGGAACGGACTCCCATGAGGACGTGGTAGGACTCTCTGGCCGTTAGCTGGGCGGCAAGTTCGAAACCGATCCCGCTGTTTGCTGTTGGTGTTAGCTCGATTCACCTTCACATGGGAGTTGATAAACGTACCCCCAGTAATAAGTACTATAGTTTTGGTTGCTGCCATCGTAGCTGTCGTGGTTGGGAAGGTGCATTTCGCCTGGACTTGCTGGCTTTATAGACATCCTTTTGATGGAGATAGACTAAGTGCGTTAAGTCCGACGTGTTTATCATGCTTAGAAATACTTCTTTGTGATAGTCAGGCTGTTTGATGCCGTCTCATCTACTCTCTACGCAGAGACGTCTGTGATTGGTCCGCTCGTATAACTTTTAGGCTTGCTGGTGCTAAGACAGAATAACAAGTATTATAGCCCAGAAGTACTTGGAGACTCCGTTTTGTTTACTGGAACTAACACTGGCGAAGAACTAGCGCTGTCAAGAACCCTGTATACTCGCTTAGGAGCTTTTCATACATGAATCTCTCAGGGAATATGGGTTATCGTGGCTTGTGGGATAGCAGGAAGAACTGAGAGTTGTGCGGCACTCGGTGATTCTATGTATGTATCGTGAGAGACGATATTGTTGACGGAAATCCCCACCAAGGATCAAGATATCCTCTCTTGTACGAAGAGATTTCTACGAAACATTCCAACCTGAGTGCCGCGTTCATGTCGCTCGACCATTATTACATCAATCTCATAGCACAAAGTCGGCGGAGCTATCCTCGGCAGACTGCAACACCTAGGACAACTACAGAGCGATATATGGCACGACGGAGCTTTCTGCCAAAGCTGGATTACTTTTTTCCGCGCCGTACTTCCCCTGGCATACGACATTTGTGTCGGATTGGTGCAATTCGACAGCTTACGCGTCAGGGGCCGGTTCAGTGGAGGGGTACTCGACTGGAATGAAACCGATAGGGACCGAGTTCAGGTACGATGCAGGCCAGCGGAGAGGATATATGCTTATTGTATGAAGAATATGGAATGTGGAATTCTGAGAAAAAATATGTGGTGGACTCTGATGTCCGTACCTGTGCTAATATATCAATTCCTGAAAGATGATTAACATTCTGAGGGCATGACTCACTGGACAGATAACCGGCATTTTCTTATCAGACGGCTCTAGCTACATATGACCTTCATATCCGAACGGACTGTCAGCAGATTCCTATGTGATGGAGAACCAAGATAAACGATCATTCAGCCTTCCCCGCATTTCCTCCTGCAACGTGAGTTGGCATGTGCTCATACCAACACGGAATTATGCGATCCGCTAGTAGACAATGATATCACTACAAGTAAGCCATTAAGGAAGATCACAAGGCTTATATCCCAAGGCTAAAGGCAAATATGATGACTGTTACCCCGCATTTCTGTCTTTGGGCGCTCTTACCGCAGAAAGTACATAAAACGATTATCGAGGTCATTCAGATGTTACGCTGCATTCTGAAGAAATAAATGCCAGTCGTAGCGGCTGAGGGTACAATATGATCCACGGATCTTCGCTGTCAAACCAAGTCGGGGATTCTGGCCGGGTTGCCCCAGAAAGACTCGATCGCTACGATCGATGGACCAGGATAAAATCCTTGTATCTGTCGATCAATCTGAGTCAGAATGACGGAAGACAAGGACAATAGCGTGCAGTCGACAACACACCGTCCTACCGTAATATCTTGGCTGGCTGCACTGTTGGAGAAGACTTGATAAATGAGTCAGGCGTGACACGGTGCCAGATATCTGCTGACACATGGCTATAACAGGTATTGCTATACATCATATCCAGCTCATAGTTCGATAGTACCGGAGTTGTAGCTAAATTGTACGTCTATTTCCTAACAACGATGGCGTGGCACGTCTCAAAGAAGATTTACTGCATTGTCCTAACAGAGTAATCTGATCGCATGGACCATGGTAAGACGCTGGCGGGATAAACCTACAAGCTGCTAAGAACAACGGATGGCTGAAGCCAACCGTAAGACACCGAAGAGGATGCCTCGGAGTTAATGTCTATCCAATGATGTTTATCAGTTGCAGCGGAGATATGTCATCTACTCATTTTGACTCCATTTTGCGCGATCCCCATGGCCCACTTGGTCCCACTATGATGCACATCAACATGACTCGCTAGACCGTTTGATCTATCTACTGACAGTTTTCCTAATGATCCTGATGGCTTGGAAATGGTCGATCGGAAGATTTACCCACTCGGACAATGCACTCGACTGGATGCATGTAGCAAGCAAGGGATGCATTACTAGTCCCGTAGATGCTCCGATAGATAAGTGCAAAGAAGAATGGCGGTCTGAAGTCACACAAACTGACAAATACTATCAAGGAAGAAGTAGTAAATACTATCAAAGGTCAATGGTCTCTCCCCAAGTCCTTAGGTTTGGCCAGATCCCGATCGGCGGTCAGCAGGGAAGGCTCAATGAATTATTGTACTTAGTTCACTTCCAACACCACTACTTTCATTCGATTAGCTTCAGTCATGCCAGTACTTGGTGCCTTACTCCACTTCCGCGTTGGCGTTGCGACTGCAGGCTCATCATTGGGCCGAATCGCGACATTGCCCGCGATAGGATACACTTTGGGCCACTGTGCATGGCCAGCTCCAGCCTTTCCGACTCTGCGCCCGGTCATCTGCGGGACAAAGGGGTCGCCTGGATGAGGGATATCTTGGCTTGCGGGAGGTTGCCGTGGGGGCTGCGATGGCTGCATTCAGTCCAAAGGCTGACAATATGGGGTAAATTCCGAAAGATTCCTCTTGCGCCGAGTGGGCCAGGAATGACTTAAATAGAGCTGTTCGCCCCTGTGCAACCTTTTTGAAATCAGTATAATATGATATTGAGTAGAGGCACCGAACCAAGGTTCGCCATGTATCTATATACGCTCATCCTCCTCTTCCTGGCGTCCGTCAACGTCAACGCCTACGCAGACCCCGGTGCCTGCTCGGGCGACTGCTGGACCCATGATCCTGGTCTGTACCAGCGTAAATCCGACGGGAAATACTTTCGCTTCGCAACGGGCGGAGGCATCCATATCGCCTCGGCGGACAACCTCGAGGGCCCGTGGACGGACGATGGCTATGTCCTACCCAACGGCTCCTCCATCAACCTAGACGGGAATACCAACCTCTGGGTATGCTCCCTTTCCCTTTACCTATGTCTTGGCACACCTAACATTCCAGGCCCCCGACCTGCACTACCGGGATGGGACATACTACCTCTACTACGCGGTCTCATCGCTTGGCTCGCAGAACTCGGCCATTGGAGTTGCGACCTCCAAGACCATGGAAGCCGGCAGCTGGACCGACCATGGCTCCACCGGTATCGAGTCCACGTCTGCCAGCCCCTACAACACCATCGACGCCAACTGGATCGCCGTCGGCGGCACCCAGTACGTCAACTTTGGCTCCTACTGGAATAACCTGTTCCAGGTGGAGATGGCCAACGACCTGAAAGTGAAGAGCGGCGCCACGCCGCACCAGATCGCCTACAATGCCAGTGGGATCCATCGCCAGGAGGCGGCCTTCATGTTCGAGAACAACAATTACTTTTATTTGACCTTCTCCGGAGGTATTGCACTGGATTACAATGACACTTGGCCGGCTGCGGGCGAAGAGTACCACATCTCGATCTGTCGGTCGACCTCGGCGACGGGAGGATTCGTAAGCCTGCCTTTGCCTCTGTATACTGGCCACCGCTGATAACGCGTAGGTCGACAAGAACGGTGTTTCGTGCCTGAACAGCGGAGGAAGCCTTTTGCTCGCCAGCCATGATTATGTCTACGGTCCCGGCGGACAGTAGGTCACCCCTTATGGAAGAAAGTAAAGAATGAACTAATGTCTGTGCGCAGGGGCATCCTGAACGACGCAAGCAAGGGGCTTGTCTTGTACTATCACTATGCGGACACGCGCATCGGCAAGGCCGTCGAGGACTACCAGTTTGGATGGAACCAGTTGACGTGGGAGAACGACTGGCCTAGTGTCTGATCTTGAAACATTTTCTTTCATTATACATATGCTTTTTTCATATATATTTAGTGATTGTTAATATTGGTTTGATTACTCCTTATTCAAGCGTTCAGCCACTGCGCCACGGGAGTGTGGAATTCGATAATTCTGCAAGGGGTGATTGCATACTTTCGCTCTATTGATATTAGCCAATAGCCAGGAACATGAATGACCTATAATTCAGGGGAATAAATCTAGGCCCGGCTTTTGCAGTATATTTTTTAAGGATTTTAGTTTGTAGAACTGCTGAGAGAAATTGAAAGAGGCTGACCACCCTGCCCTGCATTCTCTTGCATCACCGAGAAGGGATATCAGAACACTAATCTTTCCACTATAATACCCTACATCGCATATGGTAATTTCACGTATCGGGTGCTAAATAGAAGGAAACGATCCTTCGCAGGAAATCTCACCTCAAGGACAACATCAGCACAGCTTAATCTTCATGGACTAATTTGTAGGTAAATCTATGAGCAGGATATCCGGCGGCTGGGGATGATGCACCTAACGCTTCCCATGCCATGTTGCAATGGTACAGTTCTACCGCTATTCAAAGTTTCTGTAAACTCCGGCCGTGACTGCTGGGAGTGAGTTATCCAGCAAGGCTTTTGACTGTCGGCTTTCCTGGAGCAGTGCCACCTACGGCAGAGGACAAACGGGATAACCTATTATTGTGAGAAAGAAGAACACCATCGAATGAAAGTTCACCAGAATATTTAATGCCTCACGGAGTACTAGGTTTTGAGCTCAACGAGGCAGTGCAAGGACACAATACGAGGGCTAGCGCACAGCCGCCACCAGATAAGTAGTCGAAGCTTGGAGCATTTCCTGATGGACTTAATACGAGCTATCCCGCCGCTGGACTTGCGACAACAAGCAGGTCATATAAATGTCCAACGGCCATAGTCTTTATGCAAGGGCTACTGTGAACTTCCATGATGCCTCTGCAACGACTTGAAGCACTCCCAACAGAGGTCATATTGTCAATAACTACTCATATCACCAGCCACAAAGACCGCTTCGGTTTCGCCAGATGCTGTCATCGTTTGTTTGACATTGTATACCCGTGTACATTCTGCTCGATTGAACTAGCCGAGTACTGCACGTCGGACCTCAGCTGGCTGATTCACTTCCTTTTGCACCATCAGAACGCTCGCCGCAGCGTGGAGAGCCTTATACTAGGTCGGCCGGTCTCCTGTTCCAAAAAGCATGTCCACTCAAATGATTTGCCAACAACAGACGCTAAGATTGTCGCAGAAGTCAACGAATTGGTCAATTACTTTACTGGGTGGACCAATTGGCGGAAAGAGCTCCAAAATAGGAACAACTGCGATGCCTGGCTTGCCTTCCTGCTCTACATCCTGCCTAACCTGCGGTCCATCAAATGGGTTTGGAAAGAATCCAGGACCCGATACGCAGCAAAATTAGTCGACGAAGTGATCTTGCGTCGGGACCAGTTCATGGGAAGTGGCCCGTTGGGCAAACTGGAAAAGGTACTTCTCAAGGGCACTGGCAGGAGAGAAGGTATGATTGGGCTAAAGAAAATCCTGCCATTCGTCTACCTGCCGTCGCTGCGCATGTTCTCGGCTCAGCTGGTCAAAGATTTTGATCGGGTTCTTCCTGAGATGAAGAATGGCGCGTCCAGCGTAACGCATCTCGAGCTCCGGCAGAGTATCACGCGAACGGGATTCGAGCGCTTGATACGACTCTGCACCGGTCTGAAGTCGTTCAAGTACTACTACGAGCCCGGCCCGTTCACGTTCGAAAGGACGGCTACGGTAATAGCCCATCTGCAAATGAGGAAGGATACCCTCGAGACACTGTGTCTGGATTCCGATTCCTACTCCATGCTGCAAGGGTTTGAGAGACAGCACCAGTGGGTTGGATCGCTGCGAGAGTTTCGGAAATTGAGAAATCTCCAGCTGCAAATGGTCCATTTTTTTCATCACGATCAACATCTCCCTCCAAGGAGGTTGGTAGATCTTCTTCCTTCATCGCTCGAGACTTTGTGCATATCTGGATGGTGGCGTGAGAATGAGACGATCATGTTGGCTGAAATGACGGATCTGGTGCATGCGAGAGATGAATTTCCTCATTTGTCAGAGATGACTATCCAGGGGAGATTTCTTACCAAGATATTGTCGCCTGGTGAAATAATGAATTATCAGACATGGACACGGCCCCTGCCGATAATTGACGGGAGGACCATGGAAGACAGTATCCTCGAGGTGACGGCGCCGTTGCGTTCCAGCTGCGAGCAAAACTGTGTCTCCTTTTTTATAAAGGATTACGAGGTTGAAGCTAGGGCACAAGGACATAAGGATCCACCTGTCCAGGATCTGCTCCCCTTATTCCGACAAGGAAGTTCAATCTGGATCTGATTATATTGCTAGGGCTAGATTCGCCGTACGCTACAGTCCGTGCAGGATCTGTCCGATGGATCGAAGGATCAGGAGCGGGCGCTAGAAAATTGATAATAATCCATAAGCAATGAACGAGGAGTCGGAATCAATCCCGAAACTATTTCTGTTTGTTAATCATGCGGCCATGCCCAAATCCCACTGATCCCTGCCCGAATCTGGCCCCGCGTTCGAGTGACATTCGCTATAAAGACGCAGCCTGGCTTCATAGTCCTCAACATCCATTTCCCAACCCACTCTTCAAACCATCAAATTAATATCAAAATACACTCCACCCTTCAGACACAATGGTCCTAAAGCTCCACGGTTCCCTCTGGTCGACCTGCACGTCCCGCGTGCGCCTCGCGCTCATTGAGAAGGGCGTCGATGCCGAAATCATCAACGTCGACCTGCTCAAGGGAGAACACCTGGCGGAGCCTTACTTGGAAATGCAGCCATTTGGCAAAGTGCCTGTCCTGCAGGACACCGAGACAGGCGTTGAGATCTTTGGTAACATTCCCAGGCAGCGATTGCTCTACTCGTGCTAATTCTCGGCCTAGAAAGCAGAGCAATTGCTCAATACATCATCGCCAAATACCGCGGCCAGGGAGCAGAACTTGCCCCCCTGGAGTCTGATCTGAAAACCTATGCTTTGTACCAGCAGGTATGTCCGGCATTCAATTTTGACGGAGAGTACTGACAACCCAGGCCATCTCCATGGAACTCTCCTACTTTGATCCCCTTGTCTCACAGCTCGCCCACGAAAAGCTCTGGAAGTCCATGAAGGGCCAGGGTGGACCCGACGAAGAGCGCGTCAAGGCGCTGCTTGCGCAGTTGGACCGGACTCTCCAGGGCTACGAGCGGGTGCTTTCCAAGCAGAAGTACCTTGCCGGTGACCAGCTGACGTTTGCGGATCTGTCGCTTCTGCCATATGGTGTGTTTGTGGAGCAGTTTGGGTTCGCGGACTTGATTCCAAAGTACCCGCGTTTCCGGAAATATTGGGAGGAGTTGAAGTCAAGGGAGAGCTGGAAGGAGGTTTCGGCTTCGTCGAATGAGTTGCCGGTTGTTTAAGTCGTGAATCTAGCAATGAAACTTTTACTGCACGGAGTGTCAATTACATTGGATATATGGGAATCGAATCCGACTGTATTCAAGATCGACTCCCCTCATGCCCTCTGCGGACTACAGCGTATACTTGAAGCCTTCCAACCCGACAATAACCGATTCCGTCCTGTCCACTCTCCGATTCTCCAAATGCATTCGCACGGAAAGCAATCCAACCAACGCTACACTTAATGCTGTCAGCCCGACACACGTCAGAATCCCCGGTCGATAGCCCGCGGCATCCTCGGCGCGAAACACCAGCGATCCGGTCATTCACCCACAGGCACCCAAACCAACAAAGATTGCGCTGCAGATGGGGCGTTTCCACTGCCCGCGAACATTATTCGCCTTCCATCATGAGTGACATTCCTCCGAGCAGAAAGACAAAAGACACACACCTGGTACGCCATCGCGGCGGGAACATTCGAATTCGCCCCAATGGTGGTAAAGAAACACCCCACGAGTGTCGGCCCGTTACTCTTCGCGAAGCCCTGGAGACATTGCATTCAATCAGTGATGATCGAATGGAAGGAGAAGTTAGAACCACAACCAGAAGGGGCAATCCAATCAACGTCAGCATTGCATTGAACACGATAACTGGTCCCCTCGCCCGATACTTATCCCCCGCCCAAGAAGTCGCATACATCACCATCCCCGCGGCCGCGTACGGCGGCGCAAACAGACAAAGCGACGCCCCTTGCGAGAGACCCATGCCGTCTTGATAGATCAATGGGAGGAAGTAGGCGATGGCGCACGCGGTCGTCGTCGTGCAGTAGTATACCAGGCCGAAGCCCCAGATGTTCAAGTCTAGGCCGGCGAACAGGTACTTGCGCATACTGAAGGGCTCGACGACAACATCCGCGCGATCGCGGTGGATACGATCAATGACGAAGGTGTATTCGTCTTGTGTTAGGAAGGATGTCGACTGGCTTTCAATGAAGAAAGCCAAGCATGACAATCAGCCGGCGGTCGATGCGCCAGATGATCTTTCGCTGTTCTTGGGGGTGAACCGAGGGGTGTCTTCGAGTTGGTCCTCCTTGTTAGACTTCTGGAGGTCAAGGGGCTCCACATGGGTGGTAGAGGATTTGTCCATGGTGCGATCCTAGTTTGATGTGCGGGAGAGCGTACAGTTTGATCATACTCGGGTGCAACCGGACCCAAGAGCGATTGATATATCCGCTGCCAAGACAGGAGAACGCGATTTGATGAGACCATCATGGTAGATCATGAGAAAGGACAGCCCAATAGTATCAATAACAATCCAGCTTGAATTCATGGGGTACATTGGCTTCAATGCTAGCCACCTTCTGAATATACACTATGGCTCTCCCCGCATTTCGGCGTTAAGAAGAGGAGATGATAAGCTAGTATCCTATCGCCGACAAACAGCCTACATCGTCGGTGGAGGGGCACAGGACAGAAGTATGAATTAAGTTACCAGTCTATTTCTACCTATTTCTGCGCATTGTCCCTCGCAATCTGCGCATTCAGCAAGTTCATCAACACATCCGGCGCGTCAAACTTGTCCATAAACACCTCCACCATCCGCAGTCCTTTGCCATTCACGAGCTGGTCATCCTTCAACACAGAGTCGAAATCCGCCCAGGTGCGAATCTCCCATGTCCGCGACGCATACTCGCCCTCTTGATCCGCGCCGAACAGCTCCGGGGCCTTGAGATACCGCCATCGGGCGACATCGTTGTACGCCTGGTTCCGGCCATGGATGCACCGCTCGATTGTATAGCCATCATTATTGATCAAGAAGACAATGACGTTGAGTTTGTGGTGGATGATAGTGCTCAGCTCTTGAACGGTCATTTGGAAGCTGCCGTCGCCGATGAAGAGGATTGTTCGGGCGGTGGAGATGTTGTGGTACTCGTTTCGCGCAATCAGATCTCGCTGCGCGTAGCTCGCTCCCAGAGTAGCCGGAAGCATGTATCCGATGGACAACCAGGTGACTGGCTTGAAGAGACGGGTGTGTGGGGGGAGGACAAAGTCATTGGCTCCGTAGCCTGGCGTTCCCGTTTCGCCGAGGACGATATCACCGGAGCGGAAGAAGGGTGACAGTCGTCTCCAGAGGCCGGCGGTCTGTGTGACAAGGTCTGTAGGAGGCACTTCTGGGAGTACCTGGGCCGCCGGGTGGACCAAGTTAGGTTTGTGTGCGGGGATCTTGGATGTGTCCAGTCGCTGTGTGAGCTGCTGGATGAAATACTTGACTGGGAGATCACGATAAATGTCTTTATTGACTTGGACGGAGGTTGGATTGAGTAGAACACTCGTCTCGTCCTGCGGTCTCACCAAGAAGATGTAGGTGTTGGTGTTGCTAAAATGTGGTCCAAAAGCCAGGACCAAGTCACACGAGTCGACAAACTCTTTGTGAGCAGGTCTATACACTCCATAGACGTTGGCTAGAGTTTCATCAACCAAACCCTTGCCGAAGCCGGACGTAAATGTAGGCCAGCCGGACGTCTTGACAAAATTATTCACTTCATTAACAGTACCAAAAGCTCTTGTCTCTCCGTCAACCAGAATCATGGGCTTCTTCGCGTTATAGATCTTCTCCAACACAGCTGTCAAGGCCACCTCCTCCACCTGCGGCTGGCGCACCGGAGGCGGGATCTCGATCTTCGACGCCAATCCCGCTGTGGGGACAAGCACTGGCACCATGTCAACGGGGATAGTAATGCGTACCGGTCGGCTGTGCAGCAAACATTGCAGCAGAATTCTGTCGATCTCGGCAGGCGCCGTGCGGTGATCACTCAGACTGACTTGCGCTACCGTCACATGCTCCTGCATGCGGTCGAACCGTTGGTATTCGCCATCAATAAAGGTATGATGGATCATTGCGCGCGACTCCTGCGAGGCGCGCATGGGAGTCCCGACAATGTGTACGACTGGGGCTCTCTCTGCATAGGCGCCTGCGATGGCATTGACGGCGGACAACTCGCCAACACCAAAGGTGGTCACCAGCGCACCGATACCTGAGTAATCAGCGTCTGTCGAGGCAGGACGAGGAAGGAGGGTAAGTACCTTTGATCCGGGAGTATCCATCCGCAGCATACCCCGCGTTAAGCTCATTGCAATTTCCAACCCAGTTGAGTCCCGAGGGTACGACGTGATCCAGAAGGGTCAGATTGTAGTCACCAGGTACACCAAATATAGAGTCCACACCCAATTGACGCAGACGCTTGAAGAGGTATTGGGCGAGGGGTAGAGTGTCGCCTTCCATGATGAGTCGTATAGTCTGACCGTGTACTACCTGCTCTTTGTGCACCTTTTAACAACACTGTTGACCCCGTTCCTGGATATATGACAGAAGGAAGATCAACAATGGGGAAACTGCGACATCAAAAGATGCGGGGGGTGATCCACGCTAGTCCACTTTGGGGCATCCTCGGCTGGCCATTACTCAATCAGATCTCAGATTCTCGAGCTGTGATTGGCTAGCGCTCGCCGACATCCGATAAGGCCCCGCTCGGCGATAACAAAATAAGGCTAAAAAATGATGCCTCAGGATTATCCCCGACGCTAAGCGGGCGAATGGCCTAAGGCCTAACGCCGAAGGCCGATATGATAATGTCGATGGCATACATGGTTGATGTAGGTGCGTTACAACTTGAATGGAGCTACGTATAGGTCGTTCATTTGTATATATACTGGAAACATCATCGTCAAGATGGATGAGCAACAATTCAAGCAGGATCACAACCGTCATTCCTAATATATACTTGTAAAATCATGGCGATTGGATCAACCACGATGCAGCCGACTCAACGACAACACAGTACTGGGTCTCTGGATAGTTTCGACTCCGTCATGGTAGCCCCCGTGATTGGGAACAAGTCGCGCAGAGAGGACCTAGGTATTGAAGATACTCTTGCCCCTTGTCATTGGTAGTTCTCATGTTGTGGTCTGCACTCTGCCAGTTCTTTGTACTGAAGTACTTCAACACTGGAAGTCTACAAGGCTGAGGGGATGCCGGTCTATTAGAAGTCTGACGATAATACGCCTTCGTGTTTCCAGGTATCTGTGCTAATAGGATAAAGACATGAATAGGACATTAGGAGATCGTGAGATCCACAGGTGCTGAGATCATTAGGTTCATCCGGAAGCGTGTAAGAAGCAATAGGAGCGACACGGAATGGACAGTGCTGTATTAAAGAGGCTGGTGATATGGGAAGCAGGAATAAAATGCCTTCATTTCGTGTTCATGTGGCTCCTCCGCTGAGCCTGCCACTCTTTCTCTGCTGCTGCCCGATGCGCCGCCACCAGATCCCACCGCGTGCCGAAAAAGCTGTCACAGATGCCTGGACTGCCAAATCCATCGGAAAATGAAACATTTGCACGAGAATGATGTTCGCCGTGAGCACGATTATCGACAAAATCTCGGATCAAGGCTGCAATATTTGGAGTCCAGCTCCATGACCGTCCTTTCCCTCCCATGAAGTTCTTTGACGAGAACACTGCGGTAAAATCATACCCCGAGTGCTCGTAGACACCACCTATAGCTCCTGAAACCGCAACAAGCGAATGAAAGAGGACATCTGCGCCGCCGCCTCCCACCAGCGCCAGAGGGACGAGATACGGCAGAACAATCTCGAGAAAGAAGTCCGGGGCAGACATGTAGCATGCGCTGATTCCCCGACTGGCTCCTGTTGAGTGATGCAGCGAGTGCTGCAGCAGGCGCATAAGCTGCAGGTTCGGATTATGGAGCAGATACCGATGAGTGAGATATTGCACCACGTCATGACCGATGGCCATGGCCGGGAGCGACAGGAGAAAGCGTAGGGGATGCAGGTGCGTTGGTCCCACGAAACAGAATCCAATTGCCTGTACGAGGATCATGCTTGGAAGCAGAATGAAACACTGATTGGACAACACTCGTGGCAGCATCTGCATGTACGGCTTGCGGTCGGCATCGCGGACCTTCAGATGGGGCATGCTGTTGGTGCGGTCACACCATTCGAAGACCAGTCCGGCGGCATGAAAGGCGACCTCCTGGACAAACCAAGCGTATATTGGTAGGGGTAGCCAGCTTGGTAGGGTCACTTCCATGGTGATTTTCTGATGTGGTTGTCCAATTCTTCTGGGAGTGAGACGGCTTGAGCGGGCTGGACGGGAATGCAGATGTCCAGCCCGAATTTATCAGACAGTGAAGAGAACGTGCCGTGCACTTCCGACATTTCCGGCCCAAAGACTCGTGTTGTATGATCATTACTAGTACTAAAATACTTTTTACTGCAAGCATCTAGACGGTGGAGAATGACATCATCCGCATGCTGTCTTAGTCACAATCTGCTCGAATGCGCGCTTTACCTCATTGTTGTAGTCTAGACCACGGTAAGCATTCATATCATTGTAATACTTCCTCAGTCGCAATAAATATGAGTGATGACCATGGATTGCAGAAATGATGGTCAGATATCAATATAGATATCCCGTCTTGTCCCACTTCCTACAGTGATCGACCTCCTCCCATTCCCGCTCTTGGCAAATGAATGGCCAAGTTGCCCCACGTGTTGGATTGTGTCGCTAACATTCACATTCGGATACTACGTCTAAAGGCCATTGTTGTAGATCTCGTTCGATTGGTTGACTCCTCGAACGACATGTAGCATGTGACAGCACAACAAAGGGACTTTGAGATATCCACAAGGCTGAAGAGACAAACTGAGGCCCTTGATTCTCCTATTATACCGCTAGAAGTATACAAGCACATCCTACAGCTAATATAGGCCCCATTCAACCTGCTGGCCCTTGGCTGTTCCATCGCAAGACATCACCCCCTTAGCACCAACCTTTCTAGACCCGCCAAACTGTCTGACAGAGTCAGTAATGATATCAACAATGTCCTGAGCACCAACGTTGAAGTCGATGTTGCCGTTCTTCCCCTGACTCTGGACCCCAAAGGCGCACGAGCCGAACTGCACGAGCTGGTGCCGATTGCCGATTGCGTTCTCAACCTCCCAATCGCCGTCCGTGTTCTGGATGTTCTTCTCGATCTGCATGCAGTCTCACACGCTGGGTCAGTGCCAATGATAGCATCAATACCTCGGACCTTTTCCATCTGTCGTCCATCAATTACTCCAACAGTGACCCGTACTTTCTGTATGAGAGCACCAGCCATCTCGACACGGAGGGAGACTTCCAGTTTGACTGGACCCTCGAATACAGCAACTGCTCCCAAGACGGGCGGACAGACGGCGTGACCTTCACCCGCAACAGCACACGCCATTCACTCTACTTCACCATCAAGAATGGCACTTCGCAGCCGGATCTCGTCGCTGTGACGGACGACAACACTTGCGCTTACTCGCTAAGTCAAGCCTGGAATGTGACCAATCTTCTGAATGTCCCAGGCGAAAAAAGCTACGGTGGCGCACCCTCTTGTGCAGTCGTTCCCTCTACAGCACCCACCCCCAGACCTTGCAAGGTCAAGATTAGCCCAACAGCTGCGTCGAGTATCTCAGCCGCTCTAACCTCCTATGCATGCGCTGTTTCGTCTCCCCAGGTGAGCTGCCCGGCCGCCAAAAATGCAGCCACTGGAGCGCAATTGCCGGTCGGTGGAGCATGGTTGCCAGCTTTTTTTGGATGGCTCGCTTACACTCTTGCATGACTCGTGTGTATTCTCTCCTTGTGACCTGTTTCTTTGTTTTTTTCCCAGGCCCGGGGCAACTGACCTGCCGTTCCTGGTGGCCTTAATTTGTACGCCAGTTGATTAGTTGTATTCGAAACGAATTTGCCATCAGCTTCATCCCCTACGGAGGACTCCGCCTGTAGAACTCCGTCCTGGCGCATTTTTGAGGCTGTTGGCAGAAGCTAGGACTGGCTCGATGTCACCTGAGGAAATTACCTTACTCCAATTGTGAGACGGGCACTTGCTCCGTAGGCCCCAGTAGTGTCTGTTTGGCTGCGGTAGGCGGCGGTAGGCTTGAGACTGTGAGGCCTCCACAGTTGCTTCGCTAGTACAATAAGCCAATGGAAGCCGTTACTGACCCTTAGGGCACGGATATCAGGCACCGACAGACCTGGACCACCTGGTAAATTTACTACAATCAGCGCTAGGGTGTTAGGGTCCTAAGGTAGCCCAGCTAGTGCTGACGCTCCTTCAGCACCGTGAAGTATACGAAAGTGTTGGACTCGAATAGTCGGTGGTTTAATGAATTGGTTATGTGACTGAAAAATGCCTACGGGAGCAGCAATCTCTGGGTGGACTATTACGTTTACATAGGCGTCTAATAATTCTATGGAGCTGTCAGGATCAATGTGGGAGACAGAAAGTTAGTAGGATGACATGGTGTAGAGAGATAGAGACGAATGATAGGATTTATTAGTCCGGAGGCTCTACTACCTCAAGCGCGTAAGTACAGTTTACTTATTATCCACAAAACTGGAATGCACCGAGGATGTGTTTTCGAGTACCAGTGAAGCCTCCTGTGACCTAGATACATGGCTGCAGCGTCTAGCTACACTACACTCAGGGTATCCTCCAGGGGTACGCTCGTCTAATATACCAGAGAACCTACTTGACGGGCCTCACTGCATTAATAAGTATACCTATATCTCGGGTGTATATCCCCTAGCTTGGCAAACTGCTCCTCATATGGCAGATCCTCAAGCCCAAGCAGCAATCCCAATGGATCTCTCTCCTTCCCCCGATTCAAAAACCGCAATAACAGCACCTGCACCGAAACAAGCACCATAGCAATCACCAGCAACGCTAGATTAAACCGGATCCCCAGGTTAAAGTACGGCGCCGACTCCTTGGGATAGATCCACGTGTTCATGATGCCGCCCATATTCGTCGCAATAAACGCCATCGCCACGGCCGTCGCGCGCCGCAGGTGGCCAGCCGTGTTGTTCGGCACCCAGCTAATCAGGCAAGGCGCGCAGGCATACACACCCGTCACGAGAAGCATGAGGGCAGCGTAGCGGATGCCCACGCTACGGCCATTTATGGCCAGCGCGGCGCCAATCAGCGCGATGCCACTGGTGACGAAGGCCCCGGCACCGCGCTGCTGTCGGCGATCGGAAAGGTACGCTGTCAGCATCGTCACGATGAACCCGGAGGCATAAGGAGGGACGGTCATCAGCTGCGTTTTTGTCGGGCTGTATCCAAGTGCCTGGACGATGGATGGGGAGAAATATGCGAGTCCAAAGAGGCATGCCCCGTTGCAGAAGAGGATGAGACATATCCACACGTGGAGATCCTTCAGGACGCAGACGACTCCCTTGAATGTGACGTTGGATTCCGTTTCGAAGTTGTTGCTGTCTTGCTGCAGCCGGGCGATGCAGCGCCGCGAGTGCTCAGGGCGAAAAGTGATGACTTTCTCTGGGCTGTTGGGAAGCACGAAGAAGGAGAAAACACCAAAGCAGACGGTGAATAAACCCTCAAGGAGGAAGATCCACTGCCAGCCCTTCATACCGCGGATACCGCTCATCTGCTGGATAGCTGCGGCTAGGAGGCCCGAGAAGGCACCGCTCAGGGAAGCGGCGGAGAAGAAGAGGGCGATGCGAACCTGGAGTTCGTGACGGCGGTAGAAGTTGGACAATAACAGGACAATGCCGGGAAAGAGACCTCCTTCTAGCAAGCCCAGGAAGAACCGACATGCGAGGAATTCGGAGTAGTTGTGCACTTGGGACTGGAGAGTTGTCACGAGCCCCCAGAGTGTGCATAGAGTGGGCAGGAGGATACGGGGGCCGTCAGCAGGAGGTTGGAGGGAAGTTCAGACAGGACATAGGGGACGTAAGTGACGGTAATCGCTGAGCAGTCAGTACCAGGTAATGAAGGATGGTCAACAAAAGGTGCCTATTTTGTATTGCAAATCGGTCAAATGGAGGTCCTTTTCCAACCCAGCCTATGGTTCTCTTTAGCAACAGTCTGCGTCAACGCCAAATTGGTGGATGACTTACCACTCGTGCGTTGCCCACATTTGCACGATCTAACCACGCCAGCAGGTATAGCATCAGGGTCATGGGCATAAGCAAAAGGTCCAACCTGAGAAGAGTCTGTCGGTCGAGCTTCAATGTCTCCTCGTCCAAAGCAACCTCTTCATCAGCGACCCCCTTCTTGGTCTCGGGATCTCCAACATGATCGCGAAATGATTTTTGATCGGTCATCGTGGAGGTTCGGCAACTGGCCAGTGCGCACAGGTACGAAAAGATTTTTACACGTCTTGACCGTCGTAGATACGAGTTGTCGCCTTTTGTAAATATGGCCAAGAAGATCGTCGGTGATGGCCGCTCCAGATTCTCCACTCACGCGGAGCAATTCCGATGTTTAGCACACGCGAGATGACTAGACTTGCAGCACTGCTGACCGAAACACTCATCTATACGGGGTCTATGCGGTAATCCGCGCGGATATAGATGGATGCGGGGGCGGGGCAAGAAGCGAAAAGAGTATATATCGGAAATCCCTAGCAATGGGCCGCGGCTCTCACTTTCGGCTCTGGGTTCTTTGCCGCTATCACAATCCGATATAAAGCCAAGACATTCCGTAAATTCGATTATACCCCCTGGCAGTGGCTGTCTGAGCTCGTTCTCCATCCAGCGACCTGGGACATCCTCGGAGGTGGAGGAAAAGTTCTTGGTGAATCATTAGTGCGGCATCGAGAGCCCGGTGTGAGGCTACTCAGCGTTGAGTATGTTTTTGAAACATCGCTGTGTCGAATCTCACGTAGAGCTAATCATAATTATATGGAAAAGGGAGGAAGGTCTGATTCGTCGACTCTAGTATAACTGGCATATATATAGCGACGAAAATCGAAAGTAGCAATAAGGCTATAGAACGATATGAATTAAAAGTAATTAGTAGATAAAGTCATAGCGGCAATCTAGCAATCTAGCAATCTAATCAGTTAAATTAGAATTGTAGAAAGTTCAGTTTGACCGCAACCGGCCAGAATGGTTGACATCTTCCCAGGATGAATCATCAGTCCTGACCTCGGTGATGTCAGGAAACAAAACAGATGTTAGTTTCGAAATCGCCCCGAGTGATTTTAGAACTAAAAGATCACTGCCAATTATGGCGTGTCAGCTATGGAAGTAACCAGTCAGTCGCGTGGCTCATGGCACCAGCTTCCAGACGACTAACATCTGCATAGGCAAAGAATCTGCCTCGAATGGCGACGAGAGATCGCTCGGTGCGTCGCCAAAAGCTATCAACAAGCGAAAGTTGACGGCCAAGATCGATTGGCATGTCCTTCCATGTTTGTTGTCACGTTTCTGCTGGCATTCCTAGATCGGTAGGGTCAACTTGTCATGTCGCGATAACTGATGCTCACCAATCCTGCAGTATTAACATCGGCAATGCGGCGGTTCTGGGTTTGAAGGAAGACTTGCACATTCAGACAGGCACGAAATACAACACTGCATTGACCATTTTCTTCGTGCCCTATATCATCTTTGAAATTCCATCGAATATCCTGCTGAAGAAATTGAAGCCGCATGTGTGGTGTATGCCTTGTTGATGTCCGCAAATAGAAACAACATAGTGACTACAGATTCAGTGCCGCTATGCATGTTCGGCTTTGGTCTGGTCACGGTCTGTCAAGGCCTCGTGACAAATTGGGGCGGATTAATGACGACTCGCTGGTTCCTCGGCATGTTCGAGGCGAGCTTGTCTCCTGGATGTTAGAGCCTCCTCCTGTGCCTGAAACCTGCTAACCCGGACAGGTTTCTACCTTATTGGTATGTGGTACAAACGCAGCGAAGCTCAGAAGCGGTTCAGCCTGTTCTTCAACTCGTCAACTATCGCCGGTGCGTTTGGCGGGTTGCTTGCAAGCGGAATCGGAAAGATGGACGGACTGCGTGGCTATGGCGGCTGGCGCTGGGTATTTATCATCGAGGGCGTGATCACCTGCCTGGTCGCGACGATCTGCTTTTTCGTCGTCCCGGGGTTTCCTGAGGATGTAAAGTGGCTCAGTGAGGGGGAGAGAGAATTCATCGTTTCCAAGCTGGCGGATGACGTGGGTAACGCTGCCAGCCATGCGAGCATTGGATGGCGCGATGTTCTGGCTGTGTTTAAGGATTGCAAGCATACTTCCTTCGCTATGATGGATGATCGCTAACGCAGAGCAGACAAGGTTTTTATCGGCGGATGGATGTACCTTGGGCAGGGTGTCACAGCCTACGGTACGAGTGTACTTTCTACTCTTAGTGAGATACTGACGACAGCAGGGTATGCCTATTTTGCTCCTTCGATCATCAAGTCCTACGGCCACGACGGTACGATCATGTCTCATCTCGGTTAGATTCAACTGACCTTTCAGCGATCAAAACACAGCTCTACTCCATCCCGCCATGGGCCGCGGCGTTTGGCATCTCCATGCTCGTCGCCTTTTTGTCTGACAAATTGCGCCACCGGTTCATCTTCACTATCATCCCGATGCTCATCGCCATGGCCGGGTTCGGCATCCTCCTCAACGTCCACGACCATCACAACGTACAATACGGTGCTTTGTTTCTCGTCACGAGTGGCTGCTTCAGTGCCATGCCCGTGCTGGTCTGCTGGTTCTCGATGAACCTGGGTGGTCATCGTCGACGAAGCGTAGGGACGGCATGGCAGATTGGGTCTGGAAATTGTACGTCCTCCATTCAACAGGGCAAGGTCCATACTAACCTTCGCAGTCGGCGGGATTATCTCCACCTACTCCTTTCTCGCTAAAGGCGCCCCTCGCTACCGTAACGGGTACATCATCAGTCTGTCCTTCCTCTGTTTCTCCGCCGTGATGGCTATCGTCTACTTATTGGCAGCTTTGTACGATAACAAGAGGCGTGATCGGGCCATTGAGAATGGGACAATTGACTTGCAGGCATTGCCGGAAGAGGAGTTGGAGTATATGGGAGATTTGGCGCCGACATTTCGCTATGCTTACTGATGATCAGGCGACAACAGTAGTTGAGAGACGTGAGCGAGCATCCGATAATGGCCCTGCCCTTATAGACAGTTGGACTGTAAAAAATTTAATCCTAACCAAACCATGTCATTCGCCCAAATAAACTCCTGTACATCAACTACTTAGACTGGTCAAGCTTTCCACATCGAAGCTTAAGACAGCCAATTGCTTCGACTCTTCGAATGCCTCTGAAAATATTCATCAATGTAAACTGCCCTTCCGTGATCCCTGAACAAACATGACTAGTTCCTATTGCCCCTATGCCTTCAGTCTTATGTACCAAAGGAATAGCATGCGAGGCTTCGTCTACGCTAAATTGTCACCTTTCGCCCTGGTTCCATAGCTGACCGAAGCAACCGAGGCTGAGTCTGAGCCTGGCGTCGGCAGCAGGATCGATGCATCCGAAATGAGTTGAGGACAGCCGTGCTTTCAAGTAGGTTACATCAGTGTGGCTCCCTGCATATATATGCAAGGAGCATTGTTGTAATAGTCTCACGAGCCGTACGCCACCCTGGCCTCCATCCTCCTGCTCAAGGTGCTCATCTGTCGATGGGCGTATTCATAGACACTACTATCATCTTTTATTTCCAGGAGATTTAGTTTCCGCGAATCGATCATGTCGATTCTTTCCATGCTATATTGAGGCAGGGCAGCACATCCAGTCTCATCTCTACCGTCGTCGATGTAATTGCTATGCAAGGGTGTTCCTATTCCTTACAGTGTGCATAGTGGAAGCGCCGGTTATACTGAACGTTTGAGACTTTCGTATGTTATGATTCATTTCATCTAGACAAGACATTAAGATTTAAGGAGTGTGTAAACATCATCATCGTCGTCATCAACAACACAGCCCAGCCAGAGGTTTGCTCGACATGCCACATAGATTTTCCACACGGGTAATCATTCCTCAGACCGTTTCTCAAACTGCAATGCATCAGGATGGGCGGTTTCCAATCACAGCGAAGAGAGCTTACATTTTCAGTTTGGACGACCCTCTAGTAGTTTTCGTAGGTACCGTAATTGCCATAGTTGCCGTAGTCACCATAGTCACCATAGCCGCCGGGAGTGGGAGTGGGAGTGGAGGTCGGGGTCTCTGTGGTGGTCGAACTAGGCTCATCGTCTCTCTTCACCTTGTACTCTCCATAGCTCCCATACTTGCCGTAGTTGCCGTAGTCTCCATAGTCTCCGTAGCCCCCGGGAGTGGGAGTAGGAGTCGTAGTCTCGGTGGTGGTAGTGGTGGGCGGCTCCTCATCACGCTTGTAGTGACCATAGTCCCCATATTTGCCATAGTTTCCGTAATCACCGTAGTTGCCGTATCCCGGAACAGGAGTTTCTGTTTCGGTGCATGTGGATGTGGTGGTGGGCTCCTCGTCGCGCTTGTAGTGGCCGTAGTCACCGTACTTGCCGTAGGAGCCATAGTCCTTGTAGTCTCCATAACCGGCGGGCGCCGTTGTTGTCTCGGCGCGAGCCTCCTCAATGGGTCTGGCGCTGACGCTCAGAGCCAGGAGGAGGACAGCAGTTTTGCTAAGTAGATGCATTGTGCTGGGTGATAAAAATTGAGGATGAAGGGAAGAGTTTGCTCTGTGGCAGGAAACGAAGAAAATCTTGTGGACGGACAAGGGTAGCAGGCTTTATAGACAGTGCACTGCTACTAGTTCCTTGCAGTAGCTCGCACTTATGCCTGAGAGTAGCAAATGACTCCCCGGCATCCAGGTCGTGGATCAATGCTTATTGGTCAAGTCTCTGATGACCGCAGTGGTCTGAGATGGCCTGGATAGAAGCTCGTCATGGTGTCCCAAACAGGGATACGGCAGGATGCGATGCAGGAAGCTACATCGACTGCGGTGTTACATTGTGCAAGCCTTTGTAGTAACGCAAACAATAGCCTCCCGAGCAGTTCATCCATTGTACATTCAGCCCTGGAACTGCAAAGTCAATCTGGCCAGTTTCTATCTATGTTCACCATCGCTGATTCCCCGTCACCCGGGGGATCAAAAACTCAACACACGAAGACCCGGAATAGGCATCTGCCCGTTTTCTGCATGTCTCAAGCTTGCAGCTTTGGGGTTCTCGGCTGAGTCGAGATTGGTTACTCTCCGCACGGCTCGTGACTCTAGTCCGCAAGCCAAGCCTCGTCGATCAGTTTACTACATCATGAGATCACTATTAATAGCCATCTAGTGAGACGAAGAGATGCCAAGAGTTGTTCGGGTCACACAGACCCGAAAGGATCTGCCAGGCGGGCAGCCCGTGTCTTACAACTCATCAAATCCCAGGTTGCATCCGCGAGGGGCACTCGTACTCCACAATCCGCCATTGGTGGGGGGTGAGACATGCACGGTACACTGCCACCCATCCGACTATTGTTGCGGTCAAGATTCCCTCGGTCGCGTTGCTTGTTTGGATTATATCTTCTTTGCTCTGAGCTTTTGTAATGTGACGGTCAACAGCTATGTATTCCAACGACAAAATGGCGCGCTCCGACGCGGATAACGATATCGACGCCAACTATGGCCTACTCAACAATGAGGAAGCTCAGAATTGGAGTCATGACGAGAAGCCTCGAGCCAGATCGCATGGACACTGGCTCAAGGCCTTGCTCTATTTCGCGACAGCAGTCGTTTCGTGTTTAGTTGGACTCTTCATCGGACAACAACTACAAGACCTCGACAGGGTCTGTACTCGTCACGTTTCCCATTACTGTACGTTCTTCATTCTCGAATTACTGGCGAATTCCATAATTGACAAGAACAGCGCCTGTTACCTCGAATGTCGACATAACATTTCAGCCTCAGCGGTTTAATGGTTCGCTGCTGAAGGAGAACATTTACCGTCAAGATGCCAGTCCGGAGGTCGATGCAGCATGGGAGGCATTAGGTGTAAATTGTAAGACTGGTTCTGCCGAGATAAACAAAATACTAACCATGAGCAGATAGAAGTTTGCGTGTCCCTGCCGAAGAAGCAGAAAAGTCTGGACTTGCGCGAGACCAGGTCAAAATCAACCAGAAGTATGGAGGAGGCTATCCGGCGAATGTAGAGGGCTTCCATCATTTACATTGTCTAGTATGTCTTCATCCTATCATGTCAAGATAAAAGCTGACCGTGAAGAATCTACTGCGCCAAACGCTCTACTACAACTACGATTACTACCAAAAGCTCGGCCAAGGGGCTTTCAAGAACGACGATTTTATCGTCCGACGGCACGTTTGTAAGTATTCCACATCGCAGTTCCTGGTCAAAGCTGACAGGTGCCTTAGCCCACTGTCTGGACATCATACGACAGCAACTCATGTGCACCATTGATACTGGAGTCCTTGGCCAAGTCTGGATCCATCCAGATCGCCTAGAGGCGTATGTGGACTTTAACACAGAGCATCAGTGCAAAAACTTCGAAGCTATCCGCCAGTATGCCGAGAAGAATCAGTTGCCGGCTCAGATTCCAAAGGATTTCTTGGAGCCACCTAAGCCGGGTGATAGAGTCTATGATGAGATTCCATAAGGGAGTCTTTGATATGCTGTTTCAATCAAGTGACGAATGATTATGAAAAGATGTATAGTATTCACGTTAAATTAATGAAAGTGTTGTTGCACCTACTGAGTCAAGACCCATGGTGGTTTCCTGACTTTATCCACGGCTGAAGAACTCAAAATGGTTGAATACACAAGCGTCAGAACAGGAAAAGAAGAATACAAGAGGACAAACTATTAAAGAACAAGAAACATCACCTCCATCCGTAGTAGATCCCTCCTGGCGTTACACCCACAGCACTCCTCGCCTCCAACTCGCTCGGCTGACGAATCTCTTTTTGCGGCGGTGACTGCTTCGTTGCAGTCTCCCAGTTCCAATATCCAACATTTTGCGGGGGAGGCGAGACAGCAGGCGGCGAAGCGCCCGAGCTCGACGAGAATGTACCATGGCCTCCCACTGAAGACGACGCAGTGAATCCCTGCTCACTCCTTCCCTCACCTCGACTACTAAAGAGAGCCCAACGAGCCGTCCGCTCCATCCGCCCGACCTGCGAAGATGGCCCCTGTTTATACCTGTTCCGACACAGCATGATCACAAGGACGAGGAGGATGCCAACAAAGGCAAGCCCGCCGACCACGGTACCGGCTATGGCGCCACTGCTGAAAGAGCTCTTGTTGTGGGTGTCGGCAGCTGAAGACGAGTAGCCTGTTCCTTCCGCGGGAGGTGATTGTCCCGGGACGAGCATGTAGGGGTATCGTCTTGCTTGGGCGTATTGTGCTTCCCAGGTCATTGTTTCGTTCTACCGCAATGAGTATGAGTCTTGGATCATGGACACAGACTTACCGGGTTGATCACTCCGACCATTCCATTGACGAGACAGGAGTCGACTGCCGTGCAGTAGAAGAACGTGGGCTGTAATTGAAGTCAGTCAACTGATTCCGGCTCTTATAACTAGACATACCTCGGTATCATTCACAATTAGTGACCATGTAGGAGGCTAAACAGTTAGCTTTGATATCGACATAGACGACGCACTCACCTCTCCTTCTAGCTGCCCATCGCTACCCTCGTTGAAGGTATTGTACTGGCCGGAATAGAAGATCTCCCCAGCAGCAGGCACACACGGTGCCATGAAGTCTGCCTTGACGACGGAATGGTTGCGCGGGTAGAACTCGAAGACGATCACATCGCCAACAGCGGCCGAGAGGTTATGCGGCGAATATTGATGCGGGTTCTCTTTCGGCCCTACTTTGACGGTATGCGTAGAGTGAGGAGCCGTCGAGGATGGAGTAGAATTGGTTATCGCCATCGCTGTTGCGTGTGCCGTTCTGAACTGGATTAACAGCAACACGACCAGGGAGATGATCGATAACTCCAGCATCGTAGCTAGCATCAAGAAAGAAAATAACTAGCAGATAAATGTCATTTCATGGGTCTGAGGGTAAATATTCTTTTCAGTGTCATCGCGCACTGCCTCGAGGTCTCATTGTCTCAAGGATAACAAAGGAAGTATAGCGGAAAGTTTAGTGCCACGCCACGTTTTATTTTGGTGGCTATCTCGTGGTCTAGGATGTGTCTCTTTGTTTATAGACCTGTTTCTCTTGGTTGGAGCACTGAAATTAATAATGTTGAATTTCTATGGAAGGGTGGGCGAGTCCCGGATGGGCAGATGGAGATGGTTGAGGTGAGAATGCGGCCTGCTCAGTGTCGGCAAAGAAGCTGCGTCTTTGTCATGTCAATTATCCTTGTGAAAGGCAGAAAGGTGCTAGAAGAAACATACATTTTCTTAAGCGTCAACTGCCTGTACTCTCGCAAGTATAATCCGAGTGTGCGCAGACTTTGGTCATGTCGATATTTCACATGTAGGACTCGGCGTCCTTGGGATGCATGACTTGAACGAAGAGACCCAGTGGAATACCAAGTCACAGCTCTGACTATCAACTTGCATTATTCGTTAGTCGATTATAGAATAGAATAGGCCGCTTATAGCACAGTAATGGCCTCAGCCACTGATCTTATTGCTGAAGTGTTTGAGCTTGTCTATCTGGAAGGCCAGGCTCCATTCATTCTATTACCACTGTCATAGCACAAGGAGTGACAGAATGTTATGCTAGATTATAGCTAGGGGACAGATATCCTCGGTGTTTGGATGATCCACTCTCGATCGCTAGTTATCTATCGCCTGATGATGCTAGATCGAGCGAGGGTTCATATCCGAATACGTGATGGCACTCGCTAATCTAGCACTCTCTTCGCCACGAGCGGGCTTCCATTCAAGATTCTTGGGTAATCGTGGGCATCGAGGCAGGCCTGTCGTGAGTTTAGGACACTCACCTCTGCCCGCCTAAATACATCGTTCTCGTACTCTTGGATAGAGTGACGAAGTGAATCAGATGACAGTGAGCTATACACGATCAGAATTTGCCAGTTCAGACGATGGGGGTACAGGACGTACTCCGATGAGGCGAAATCGATTCGCCGGACGAGGTCACGAACATCCGCGATGGCATTGTTGGCACCTTCGCCACGGACTAGATGCTCATGTTAGCTTAATCATCCTAGTTATAGCGTAATATCTTACACATGGTCATAGTATGCGCTGAATCGCCCATCATCACCACGCGCGGACGAAGACTCTTTCCTGGGGCGAAGATCCAGTCCTGGATGCGGATTGAGCGCGCCTCTGAATCATCAGGCAGATTGTGGACGAGCGACCGGAATGGTTCGACCCAGTTGGCTGTCAACTCTTTCATCAATGCGATCCGTCCAGCATTGTCGGGTGGGAGAGGAATGTTTTTATTGTCGGCCCATGAGACGATGATCTGACAGACGTAGGCATCTGTGCTGTCGTCAAAGTTGTTGGGGGTGTCGAGGACTGTAGAGTATTAGTGGTAAGTACCAAAGGTAGAAGGCATGCATACAGCTGAAGAATAAGAAGACGTTCGAGTCTGGATGAGCTCCCTGGAAGATATACGGATCCATAACCCGGAAACAGGCGGCTTGCTCGGGCGAATAACGGACTGTCACTCCAAGAAGCTGGACAGGAAGCGGATTCATTTGATACGACTCGGGGTATGCCAGTTTACGGATGCGAGAATTGGCGCCATCACAGGCGATGAGAAGACTGCCGGTGTAGGAGGTACCGTCTTCAAAGTGAGCCGTAACGGTCTCCTCTGTCGATGTGACGTCTACGACGGTTTTGGACCACTACTTCCATTAGTCTTTAGAGAACCACAGACCTCAAGAGACAGACCTTGACATCAATCCCCGTCGTCAACAACTCCCTCAATCTCCCCCTATTCACCCGCAATCTCTCCGCAGCGGGGACCTCAAACAGCGCCGATCCGGAGCTGAGGTCGAAGAACGGGAACCGACCGACATCGCCACTCTCAGAAGCTTCCTTGTTCACTGAGCATTCGGCTAACCGTGCGATGATGTGCTTGGGCAGCATCTCTCGTAGGATCGGCAGTCCCCAATGCAGCGTCAGACCCCATCCCCCGGTACGGATATCGATAGAGGAATCCCGCTCAAAGATGAGGAATGGGACCCCTGACTCGTGCAGATACTGGGCCAGGGTCAGACCGCTGATCCCTGCACCAATGATGAGGATGGGGAGATGGGACATGTTGTTGACTTGGCGGTTGGCTATTAACTTTGGCTCTGGTGAGTATCTACGCAGATAGAATAGTATTAGACCGGAAGGATAACTGTCAGCCGTAAGTAACCTTTTACTCAAAGGACAAGTGGCGGTGGGTGAGCGGCCGATCATTGGACCATCCATTCGGACATTTACACAACCCCTGTCATGGCGGGCTGAGTGGGTGGCTCAAGTCCACCGATGATCCTTCAAACGCCGGGAAAACCGGACATCCCATGTCCTTACTCCTTAGTACCTTGTAAACGAGATTTTAATTCCAGTAGCACATGAGTAGAACTGCCTGCGTGGCTTTTGCAGGATTCATGGCAGCATGGATCCGTAGCGGGATCGGTTGGGACAAGGAAATCCTCCAGACCAAGACCATGAAACTCAATGAGTCAATAGGACACTCGAATCCAACCCCTCAAATGAATTAATATATGGCTGGCTCGATATCTTGGTTGGTTCCAGCCTATATCACTGCGGGCTTAGTGGTGTCTTTAAAGTGACGCCAGGAAGACGCCGGCGAACCTTGGCTGTTCATCCATGATCCCCGTCACTTTAAAACCTAAGGACCAGCAAAATATCTATGGCGTTATCTCGGTTAATACCTAATTCATATCCAGTCACAGCTTGAATGGAGCCTTGTGTCTTCTTTGACAAATAGGCTGAATTGGCAGTTATCTGAGTTCCGCCACACCACCCGCCGAAAGTAAAAATCTGGGTTCGACGACGCAGCTCAAGCTCGGACGCTGCTTACTTTGGTAAATTTGTCGCAGATCAATCAGTTATATTCTCGGGCATGTTGCCGAAATCATACTAGTGGGATTGAACCATGGCATTGATCTATCAAACTATCTGTCGGCCACGATGGCATCCTCACAACGCTTGGAAACAAAAGGAGAAAGTATACACGGAAATGGCCCCCACGAATCATTTATTAGTCTCGTGTGAGACACGGTACTCGACCGTGACGTGGATCTCGGCGTTCCCTCGAGCAATGGAATCGTCACTGTCGTCGAGGATTAGCTCCTCGCTTGGCGTTCGTTGAACCGTGGACGGCTCCTTGGAGTGTTCGGATTTCAATTGCGAGTGTTGGTTCTTGGAGTAGGATTGCAATGAGTATCCGGTGTTCTTGCGGAACTCGCTGGCACTGCGGGAGCGAAAGTCGCGGATAAACGTCTTGAGAAGGGGCGTAAGGAATGGAAGACAGGTGACGATATTCTGGAACTCGGTTAGATCAATCATGCTCTAGCTTTGAGATCTTCTGCCAAACTCACCCCGACATTGAATTCAATGGTGCCCCACAGAACTAACATGGTCGAATCCCCATCGACAGCCACCACGCGATGAATCTGTGTTAGGCGTAGAATGGAGCAGAGGGTAGTGAACAGTCCGAGCAGGAACAAGCATGCCACGCCTGCCTTCTGTGCTGGTTTCACGTTCAACTGCAGTAGCAATGGAATCGGCAGGAAGATGACGACGACATCGCAGACGATCGTAAAGGCCGCAAGACCGTAGAAGGTCGGCCCTACCGGAAGGCATCTACCAGAAATGGTCGGATTCCAGGCCCGCTCTACCTATTGATTCGAATCTGTTAACACAGCTCTTAACACTGTGCGGGAACAATAATCACCTACTGGCTTACAGTTCAGAAGCAGAACCAATGTGCCAGCCACATGTCCCAAGGTCGACACTATGATCGCCACCCAGATCAACAACCGGTAGAAGCGCTTGGAGGTTTTCGAGAGCAGATGAAGGTAGTTGATGCACAGTGCGGCTTTGAAACCGGCGATTCCGAGTTGGTAGAAGGGCCTACCGGCGTAGTTGAGCTGCATGCCTGGTCAGAAAGATCGAATCGAGCATGAAGCGGACGAGTCAGGTACCTTTGTGTACGTTTTGAGGTCCACCTTTGGCCGCAACGCCAGTGGTAATCCCAGTCCATAACGGCTTTCTGCTGTTGTGAGCATGGGGTCATATGAGAAATAGATGATGGACTTACGAGCTATACAAAGAGCATTGTAGACGATACTGAATATCATTCCAAACACCATCACGTAGTCGGCAGCGTCGAATCTCCCAAGTTTGATACGCACGAACAGTCGCAGACAAACCGTGATGACCATCAAGACCGTCAGGGTAATGCACATCCCCAGAATGAGGGGATACCTGGACTGGGCGTCGATCTCCGGGGAAGCATTGTGTACCCAGCCCATATTGGCCGTCACATAAAGAAGATGTTGGATGAGGAAATAAGAAGATCAGTAGTCACCTATCGCATTGTTTTGTATAATCATGCATGATGGGAGGTTTATTAGAAGTCCACTACTCAGCATCAGTTGGAAGACAGTCCAGTCCTCACTGTACAGTCCTGGTTTCTTCCTGCAGGATTGGCCTCCGGGAAAATTAATTTATTCCGGCGGGAGGATTAAATGAATATCTTCAGAGCAGTAAACCCGGCCCTTCTAGTCTTGCGCCATGAGTATCTAGAATTTCTGGGCACTTATAGATAGCGCTAGACAGGGGATCCTAGGGCAAAAGATGCATTCTTCCGCGCCACTATCGCCGGTGTTTAGCTGGATTGGGCCATCTGCATGTTCAAGATGATACCTACAGTCTGGTCAATGTGAAACCTGTGAGAAAATTAATATAAGACTGCTGCATCCTTCACCCCACCCATCCTCGGCCCCCAACCGTCCTTTTAAAGACGGGATCAGTACTACGTTGCGTACTTTAGATAGCTGATCAGCATTGCATTGTGACTTGTGTCCCTGCACTTCACGTTTCACATCTTACGTGTCTTTTCTTCATCCTTTGTTTTTTTTTTTCTTTTTTTGCTTTTTCTGCCGTCTTCTTTTGCTCATCAAAATGGCCGATAAAAGGCCAGATGCAGACAACCCCCCTGTCCATGGACGACGCGATGATGCCTTGAATTATCTGGATCAACATGCCAATGTCCAGGATGAGGCGACTGTTGATCTTGCGGCCCTGCGACGCAAGATCGACTATCGCATTATCCCCTTCATGTTTTGCTGCTATGTCCTGCAGTTCCTCGACAAGGTGATGCTCAATGTACGCGCCGCTCTCTCCCCTTCGCACAAAGCCTTTTTCTCTGATGATTCTGGCAGTATGCTGCTGTGATGGGGTTAAGGAAAGACCTCAAGTTGGTTGGCAATGATTTCTCCAATGCGGCGACTTGGTTCTTCATTGCCTACTTGATCGCGGAGGCTCCGCTCGGTGCGTCTCATTCATCCGATGACCACGCATCCCACTCATACCGGTGATGTTGTCTAGTCATTCTCCTGCAAAAGACTCCCCCAGCCAAATGGCTAGGAGCAAATGTGTTCCTCTGGGGTGTTGCAGCGGCGGCTGGTGCCGGCGTCCGGGACTATCGTACTCTCTTGGTCTCACGTATCTTCCTCGGCATTTTCGAAGCCACGATCGGTCCTTCTCTGATGCTGCTGAGCAGTCAGTACTACACCAAGAGCGAAGCTGCGCCCCGATTCACGCTGTGGTATGTCGGTCTGGGTGTGGCACAGATCCTAGGTGGTCTGATCTCCTTTGGCTTCCAACATGTGCACAACCCGTCTTTCCAAGGCTGGCGCGTCATGTTCCTCGTTCTCGGGCTTATTACGTCCGTCACTGGCGCACTAACCTTCATCTTCTTGCCGGACGCGCCGATGAAGGCAAAGTGGTTGACCGACCGCGAGAAGGTCGCTCTTTTGAACCACGTCAGTGTCAACCAGACCGGTGTGTGGAGCAGTGACTTTAGCGTAAAACAGATTTGGGAGGCTGTTCGTGACATTCAGCTGTGGTTCATCACCATCATCACCATGCTGGTATGTTCGCTATCCCGGTTATAATTCATTTTTGCGGTTGCTGACACGCTACCACCAGATCTCCGTCTCCAGTGGAGTGGTGACCTCGTACTCGGCGACTTTGATTGCCGGATTCGGCTTCTCGGGCCCCCACGCGGCCCTGCTAAACATGCCCTCGGGCATTGTCAGCATCTTCTTCACCCTCTTGGTCGGCTTCGGGATCCGCCGAGTCTCCCACCGCTGGGCCTGGCTCATCGCCTCCACCCTCCCCGGCATCCTCGGCGGCGGTCTGCTCTCCTTCCTCCCCAGGCACAACAAAGCAGGTGTCCTCATTGGCATTTACCTCGTCAACGCCGTGGTCGCCACTCTCCCCATTCTCTACCAATGGACGGCGGCCAACTGCGCGGGACATACCAAGCGCGCGTTTGCCAGTGCGCTCGTCGCCGGCTCCTTCTCGGTCGGAAACATCATTGGTCCTCAGACGTTCCAGGCACGCGATGCGCCGGAATATCACCCGGCCAAGATCGCAGTGCTGGCGACGCAGGCTGCTGCGGCGGTCCTCTCGTTTGTCCTCTACTTGTATTATGTGTGGGAGAACAAGCGCAGGGATCGTGCTGCAGAAGGCCGGGAGGATCAGGCGCAAGATGACACCAAGTGGGCCGGGTTGACAGATAGGGAGAATAAGACTTTCAGATACGTCTACTAGCTGTATATATGCCTATAGCCTATCTAGCATGCTTATAGAAACTAATGTTTTTATATAAAATATATAGTAATAGACCCTATATCATATAGATATTAAATGATTTGAATCACTATATAGTAGGGATTCAAATCGTCATATAGTAGGGATTCAAATTGTTATATAGTAGGGATTCAAATCGTCATATAGTAGGGATATCAAATGATTCGAATCGCCATATGGTAGGGATATCGAATGATTTGAATCATCATATAGTAGGGATATCAAATCACCATATGGTAGGGATATCAAATGATTCAAATCACCATATGGTAAGGATATCAAATCACCATATGGTAGGGATATCAAATGATTCGAATCGTCATATAGTAGGGATATCGAATCACCATATGGTAAGGATATCAAATGATTCGAATCACCATATGGTAGGGATATTGAATCCTTATATGCTGAGGTAGTGCCCTATGTGGGTAGAATATATATATATAGAAGGTTATAGGGGAACCCACCTACTAACACTGCATATTTAAAATATATATACCCAAGTATAGTAATATATAAATAATATAATTATTTAAATAATTTAATATCCCTATGATGATTCAAATCATTCAATATCCCTACTATATGACGATTCAAATCATTCGATATCCCTACCATATGGTGATTCGAATCATTTGATATCCCTACTATATGATAATTTAAATCCCTACTATATGACAATTCAAATCATTTAAATCCCTACTATATAGCAATAGTCACTAAGTATTTATTTTATAATCATATCTTTGTGGAAGTAGTGGCTATAAGTAATACAAGCAGGTGACAGTAAAAAATTTATTTTGGCCGCTTTGTACATTCAGTCCGCCGTACAAATCTTGTTGATTGGTTCCGCTTGTATAAACCGCTAAGCTTTGTCTATTTATGTATCAGCGGAGTTGACTAAACTACAGCGACCCAGTGGGGTTCCTAAGATGATTCCATAAGGTAATCCTATAGAGGTCTACACTTCTCACAGAGAATGGCAAATTTGGAGCTGATACAAATACCATGCTCCTATCATTGTATGCTTTATCCATATGACATGGAGCAACCAAACTAAATCTCCAGGAAAAATCCCATTCCTTAAAAACCCAAGTCTTCCCACTCTACCATATGTTGAATATGACTAAAGCGGATAGATCTAAGTACAACCTGCACGTCCGTATCACACCTTCAGACATGTATCAAGATAACAATGTGCAGCCAACGCTTCAGCAGTAGTCGCTGCGGCCAGAGCCACCATCAGTGCAGCCGCCGCCGCAGTAGGTGATGAAGGAAATATCCCCATTCGCGCCACCATTGCAGTGGAAGAGGGATTCCCGGATGTGCCCGTCGTCGGTGGGCTGGCCGGCAGACTCGAGCGCGCCATTGACCTGGGCTCCATAGTTGCCTGGCGGGAATAAATCGTTAGGTATATTAAGTCTGGTCGGGAGTGACAAGTTCACATACCAATGTTCAAGAGGTTATAACCGCAGTAGTTCAGCCCAGTCTTGCAGTTGTCTGCGGCGGCAAAGGGAGCCAGTGCAGCAAGAACAGTGAGAGGGAGAATGGCGATCTTGACCATGATGACGATAATATATGAGCTTAAAGAGACAATGATGTTGCAGAGAGATTGATCGGGATCAGGATTGGAATCAGAGTGAGATACTGATGAATTGAGAATGAGATCAGGACTCAGGATGGAGGCGGACTGGTCCTCCTTCTTATACCCCAACGCTCTTCTGTTCAATTTTGATCAAGTTGTATGTTGCCATTTGAATGAAGTAATCAAAGGCTGCTCTATACATCATAGCACGCCTAATTGGACGCCTGACTTACGGACAGTCTGCTATACCCGGAGACGTGAGGCATTGGTTGTTGCATCGTGCCGGTGTCTAAAGTGTCCACCTTTGAATTCTCAGCTCATATGGCTTATGTAGTGTAACCTTCTGAGACGAATTGAAATAAACATAAGAATTGACTGCGATGGTGGAGACGACCTCCTAGGGGTCAGTATGATAGCTGGGCAGACAATCCAAAAGCAATTCGTATATCATCCTCCTTTCCAAGTCTCTCACGATTGAGAGTCGACATTTTACTATCATGTCACGTTGCCAGCTGTAATCCTGAGGTTCAGTTGTCATTCAGCAGTCACCACAGCCTCGATGCACTACGATCAGGCGTCTGCAAGGCCCTCTTCGCGCGGCGATCGCTACTCATAAAGGTATATATTCCTTAGATCATTAGCAAGCGTCTACACGCTCCAATAAAGCTGCTGCTATTATTGTGGGGATCTGCAACTAAACCGCCACTTTCTGGGATCTAATCCTTGCCCCAGATTAGGCCTCCCATTCTTGCTTACGATCTGCATTGGCAGCTTGGAAGGGTAGAGCTCTGACGTTGTAGTTATACTATGATACCAAATGCGCGTTTTTGACAAATCTAGTGCATTAAACCCGGTGCTCCCTCTCCAACGAGGACGAAAACCGACGGGGATCCCACCGAGGCCGCGTCAGGCGCCCTGTCCCCTCCAAACTGTAGAATGAGCAGAGAGAGGTTCAGAATATGAAGATATTTTGTTAATTCATTATGTATGTAAATCTATGTTTACTATTATACAGTGGAAGGAGCTATCTACTAAGTAAGATTATATAATCAGATCTTTACTATACTA